TTTGCATAAAAGGCCGTTTGTATTTTATGTTAGTCTGAGTCTAGTAAGTTCAAGGACAAGGTTGGTTTCTGCGATATAGTATCCTTATAGGAACGGAGTATCATCTCTTATAATCAGGACAAGGGATGAGACCCGAAACCAGACCAGACCAGACGCAGACCGATGACGTCTGCAAAGGCACTTCCTTTCTTTCTTCACATTTTCATAAAAACTGTTCTGTACGATTTGCTAGTCAGTCTGAGCCAGGGACAGAGAGAGGGGGGACATCGCAGAGCACCTGGTTGTCCTCTCATTACATTTTCAGGCCTGGAGGGATAGTTAAATTGGCTCAGCTCATAGGGTTTGTTAGGGAAATAAGAAATTCAAGAGTTTTGTATTAATATGTAATTGTAAAGAGAAATAAACATTGTTTACTTGAACTCAGAATTCTGTATCAAATTCTGAGTGGCGTCCTTTTTTTTGAACATAGATAGTAAAGTAATGGTTCGGCTCCCAAATATCAAGAAATTGAAGCTGGAGAATTGTTTAGGATTGTTTAGTAAATGTCATTGCTGGCAAAGATGTTCAATCAATCAATCAATTGAGCCCTTTACAACACTCAAGGCGATCAAAGTGCTTCACAATAAAATTACATAAAATCCATTCAAGCATTTATGCAATAATTCAATAAAACCGTTCAAAAGCATTAAAAAGTGTCACCGAGTGATAAAAGTGTTAAAAGCCAGTCTGAAGTAAATACGTTTTGAGCCTCGATTTAAAAAGCTCAAAATCAGTAAGAACACGCATATCAGGGGGCAGCTTGTTCCAGAGTCTGGGTCCAGCGACTGAGAAGGACCAGTCTCTCCAGTGTTTGGACCTAGTCCTTGGTACTTCCAGGAGGAGTTGAGATGAGGACCTCAATGATCTGCCCGAGCCACGGACAGTCAAAAGTTTGGACAAGTACAGAGGGGCAAGACCACTGAGGGCTTTAAAAACAAAGAGTAACATTTTAAAATCAACTTGAAACAAAACTGGAAGCCAGTGTAGGGAATAAAGGACTGGGGTGATGTGTTGACGTCTGTGTAAACCCTGACAAGTAAAGTTTACTTGAAAAAACCATGGAAATAAATTGCGTATTAACTTCACTTGAATTCCTCGAGTACATCGTTTACTTGATATTACCAAGTAACTCGAGTGATTGCAATAAAGTTTAAATTTCTACTTATGCTCCGACTGGAATTCGTACTCAGAACTCTGTAGTTGAGAGGCAATGGTGCTAACCACTCAGCCACCAGGACACCCTGCCACTGTCACACCTGCCTCAGTAAAGACTCTACACATCAAAATGTCAGAAGTGAGGCTTACTTGAACAGAAACAGTTCAATTCAAAGAAAACCCTGAGTGACATAGGCAAGCTTTAAATAAACTAACAATAAATGAGTAATATCTACTTACTGGGAAAAATCTATTTAAAATAACTTTGATATCTGAAGTAGGATTGAAGTTAGGGTTTACAGTGTGGGTGTGTTTGTTAGAAAGCGAGCCGCAGCATTTTTCACCAAATGAAGACGATTTAAACAGAACTGGGGAACTCCAAAATAAAGGGCATTACAGTAATCAATTCTTGAACTGATAAAAGCGCGGATTGTTTTTTCCAGGTCGGAGCGGTTTACATAAGGCTAAACCTTCGTTAAAATACGCAGCTGATAAAAACTTGACCTAACCACACTGTTTGGCTTTACACCCCACGGGCTTCGTTTGTGGCAAAGGAGATGACTAAAGCTAGGCTAAATGCTAAAGGCCTCTTTCACTCTGGCGCATTACAGACGTCACGGTAAACTCAGATCCAATCGTTTCAATCTGCAAATGAAGTTAACCCCTCCAACCATTGAGCAAATCCAGACCTTAGTACGAAATGAAATGAGTAGGATGGTTTGGAAAGACCGGACTAAGCATACACTATAGTCCGCAGCAGTCATGAGTTGTCACATTTACAGATAATTGGCACTTTTGCAGCAGAGAGTATGACCAGAAAGAGAATGGTAAAAAATAGCAGCAGGTAAAGTGACTATTGAATGTCAGGAGAGATGAATGAAATAAGTTTACATTTTTGAAAAGCAGCATGACCAAATTTGGCAATGTAGCATCTTTAGCTTCTTTAGGATCTTGAATACCTAAATAAGTTTTTGTATTGAACCAAAAAGTCATACTCCTCTGGCCATAACCTTTGAACTTTACGGTATGCTACATATTTGCGTGTGAGGATGCCACGGGGAACAAATACACAATGCAATGGAAAATAGTGTTTGTGTCTATGATAAATATATACTTCAAGGTTGTAATCTTTAGGTTTGGTTTGTTTCATTTTCTAAAACCATTCAACACTGCAGAAACACACTCACGCCACATACACTCACATTTACAGATTTACACAACTCATTAAAATTTAATGTTATTAATTTACAGTTAATTATTAGATATAATTCACATCTGAACATAAAAATAAAAAAAACGTATATGTTTTGTCTACAGTTTTAGGGGTGCTTGAGCGTGGGCAAAGGGTGGGCAAACCAGGCCTGCTCAGGTTGGAACTAAAACCTGCAGCCACACGCCCCATTGAGGTCCGGTTTGCCCACCCCAGCTGCTGACCTCACCCCTGTATGACCCCAAACCCTCCCCTGAGTGTGCACCAGTGAGAGCTCTTTCACTGGTTCTTGTGGTTCCACGAGGAGAGCGTGGTAACCATTTGTGGTCGGTCCGCTCCTGTGGAGATGTGAGAGTCAGGTCTGTGGAGCAGGGAGTCTCCCTCAAACACTGCAGCAGCTTCATGGAGCTAAAACAAAAAAGAACCAGAGCTTAACACAGTCATTTCTGACCCTGATCATAAGTGAGTAAGTCATTTTTATTTATATAGCGCATTTTACAGACCAAGGTCACCCAAAGCGCTTCACAATGTTCAGAGTCAGATATTGTTCCAATCATTCCACACACTGTGATGACGGAAGCGAGTCGCCGAACACACCGGCGCATCAGCTCCAATCAACACCATCCATTCACTCTCCTATTTACATTAATACCTATTGTGCATGTTTTTAGTGGTAGGGGAAACCGGAGCACCCGGAGGAAACCGGAGCAGACAGGGGGAGAACATGCAAACTCCACTCAGAAAGGCCCTGTTCCGACCGGGATTCTAACCCAGGACCTTCCAAGTCTCTGGTCTCTCCCTGGTCTTTCTCTCGAGTCTCTCTCTGGTCTCTCTCTCGAGTCTCTCTCTGGTCTCTCTCTCTAGTCTCTCTCTGGTCTCTCTCTCTAGTCTCTCTCTGGTCTCTCTCTCTAGTCTCTCTCTCTGATCTCTCTCTAGTCTTTCTCTGGTCTCTCTCTCTAGTCTCTCTCTGGTCTCTCTCTCTGGTCTCTCTCTAGTCTTTCTCTGGTCTCTCTCTCTAGTCTCTCTCTGGTCTCTCGAGTCTCTCTCCTCTCTCTCAAGTCTCTCTCTGGTCTCTCTAGTCTTTCTCTGGTCTCTCTAGTCTCTCTCTGGTCTCTCTCTAGTCTCTCTCTGGTCTCTCTCTGGTCTCTCTCTAGTCTCTCTCTAGTCTCTCTCTGGTCTCTCTCTAGTCTCTCTCTGGTCTCTCTCTAGTCTCTCTCTGGTCTCTCTCTGGTCTCTCTCTAGTCTCTCTCTAGTCTCTCTCTAGTCTCTCTCTGGTCTCTCTCTAGTCTCTCTCTGGTCTCTCTCTCGAGTCTCTCTCTGGTCTCTCTCTCTAGTCTCTCAAGTCTCTATCTTTGGTCTCTATCTAGTCTGGTATTACCAGTAGATCTTCACTTGTTTGAGCTTCTGTCCTCACATTGAGACATCCGAGAGAAGAGCGTGGAGAGGAACCAAAGGTGGAGAGGAACAAACTCGTAGAGCGGTGCTTTCCTCCCGCACTCACAGCAACAGGGTCTGGAACACGCCACACCACTTCAACTGCTCCTCGAAGAACGTGTGCTGACCGAGACCTGGCAACAGAACACAAGTTGGAGTGTGGAAACACCAAAGAGAGAGACCAGAGAGACCATAGACAGACCATAGAGAGAGTCCAGAGACAGATCAATAATGTAAACCAGTAAAATGTAGAGTCAGGCTTACCTTCTCTGTTGTGCTGTGAGTCTGGACCCTTCAGCTGTGAGGCCAGGGTGCTCAGCGACAGCACGATCTCATGGACTCTGCTCTGGGGAAGCGAGTACGAGTGCTGCATCTTCATCATGAGATACGAGAGGAGGTGGACCAGCGTCTGGGTCTGTGTGGGTCTGAGGGACATCCAGAGGACAGGTCAGGACAGAGGAAAGACCACCACATCACAACAGTCAGAGGAACACAGCAGCTGTGGGGAAGGAGACCACGACTCAAGGCCTTGGAAGACTGGAAACTACAGAAGGAGCAGTGACAGAATTATGTTTTAATATTGTCAGTAGTTTGTCCAAAAGAAAGAACATGTTGTGGTTAAAAAATATGTCATTTTTTGTGTAAGAAAGAGCCTTGTGAGGTTATATATGTATATACAGTATATACAATATATACCACCAGGAACTAAGCTACGTAAAAAATAACTCAAACCCTTTTTAAAATAATAATATATGTTGTATAGATGCTCAGTTTTATCCATCCATTGTTCTTTATTCTCTTGTTGCCCATGTGTAGTACAGTGCTTTTTGCATGGCACAGAATGTCCATCCATCTATCCATTTTCTTCCGCTTCATCCGTTGCCGGGCAGCGTGGGGCAGCAAGCAGAGACGCCCAGACTTCCCTATCTACACACACTTCCTCCAGCGCAGAATGTAAGTAAGTAAGTAATCTTTATTTATATACCGCCTTTCACAGACCAGAGTCACAATGCGGTTTACAATGTTATTTTATACTTTATACAAATGTTATAAAGTATTATTATCATTATCAAAGAATTCTAATAAAAAATTAAAATAAACAGAAGGGTGGGGGGCTCCGAGCAGGCCGTGGAAACTGGAATAAGTAAAAATCTAAAAGATGTGTCATAAAACCATAAAACTAAGAAGGTAAGGCTAAGCAGTCTTGTCACCACGGTGGAAGATGGAACAATCTGATGATGATGAGTAGAGATCAGCTCGGAGACCACACCCACCTGGAGCCAAGCCTGAAACATAAAAACAACAAAACCCCACAGGGAGCAATGTAGTTATTCTGGATCAAATAGTGTCTGATGAAGGGCCTGAGCCCGAAACTATTGTGGTCTGTAAATAAAAGACACTCGGGAGGTACATAGCTGTGCAGATTTTTCTTTATTTTTACATATTGTGCATCTTTTTTTAATCTAGCACGTAGGTTCATGCTAATGGGATGTGATGTGTAAAATATGTTTTATTTTTTAATTTATTTTTTAATTTATTTTACTTAATTGATCTGTTCATGACATTTTACTTTGACTCTCATTTCTGTGGTTTTCATGAGGCTAAAGTTGCACCTCAGCTTTAAAGACACAGACACTGTTTGTGGAGCTCCTTCAGTGAACGACTGAATGTCTTCCATTGTTGTGTTCTTCCATTTGTGTTGTAAGTGCTGGAAAAACATATTTTAAACATCACAACCTCCATCCATCCATCTTCTTCCCCTTAATCCATTTCTCTGTGTACTGAGCTGCACCCAGTACACAGAGCACCAGCCCCTCACTGATCCTCCTGCAGGTGGTGAGTCCACAGGAGCTGAGATCTTTCAGTGGGAGCTTCGGGCAAAGTGGGGTTAAGTGTCTTGCCCAAGGACACAACAACAGCAGTCATCAGTGGGAGTTGTGAAGTTGGTCTTATGGTGGGCTCGAACCCACGACCTTCAGGGTCTAAGGCCAATGCTCTACCAACTGAGCCACTGTCGCAACATCACAACCTATCACACATAAGTTATGTATTTAATATCGGAGAATTGGGTTGAGAACAATCATGTAGTAAATACAATAATTGATAATTGCTATATTTCGTATGACGTCACGTTATCTATTAATTAAAAGTTCAAATCGTGTGTGAGGATGAAGAGGAACCCATGGAGGTGGATGAGAGCATTGAAGTCTGTCCCACACTTCCTCCTCCCAAGACCCCTCCACTATAGAATCCTCAACGAAGTGTTCACATAGAATTACAGCTGAATCTTTAGCCTCTCCCTTTCAGCTCATGAATAATCAAATATAAACTGTCAGCTATTACCAATACAGACCAGATCTTATGAGTAATTAATTACTCAATTAGCTAAAAGTTCAAATCTCTTCAATAGAATCTGAAGGTAATGAAACCTCATTTCTGGAGTTCAATCAGCACAAATATCACTTTCAGACAAAAATGTTTTTTTTTAAAATTAAATCCATATACAAAGATTTGATATGAAACATGCAAACTGTCAAGAATAACATGAAGAAAACTTCAACATTTTAGTTGTTAAAGACTAAATGACTCTGATGTTATCTCTTTAACATAATGTAGATAATATTTCAATGTAATATATAACAACACCTGAACAACAACCGAGCAAAAGACACCATGCACCGTGAAAATGTTTTTGTTTAGTAAATGTTTACAACTATGTAAACACTGTAAACATTCCAATTTCATCAATAAAAGTGGCTCCATTTGAATAGATGTATTACTAGTCGTATTAATAAAAATAATACTAATATCAATAGCAATAATAATCATAAGAATAGGACAAACAATAATAATGATAATAACAAAAATAAGACTAAGAATAATAATTATATACCAGAGCTATTCAACTTAATTTCAACATCATCCATATAGAAACATACTTAAATGTATTCATAGCCTCAAAACATTGACTTAAATTTTAACATCCGGTATGACGTGTAGAAAAATCGCCAAAATGCCCGTACGCATGCGCCAAAACTTTCTATCCTCAGACTCACGTGGACAGAGCAGATATCGACCAAGTAACAAGACGAACGGGAATTTTGGCGATTTTTCTACACGTCCTGTGAATGCTTTCAACCAGTTTGGCTTCAAAAACTGTCTGCGTGAGTACAAACCCCGTCACAGCTTCGTAGACCCTCACTTCCTCAAGTTTAGTCGGGATTGTAGTTTACCTTTACCCACCTACTCCGGCGTGGCTAATGTAGCTAATAAAACTGGAGAACCGACTATAAGCTTCTTTGTGAACCTCGCAGATGATAAAAACAAAACACTGGTATTGAATCTGACTGAAGGGGTCAGATATAGATAGATACATAGATAGATATATTGATATTGAAGCATTTAGAGCTACCTAAGAAACGTAGCATTAGCTCAGATTCAGAGATTCAGATTCATCTATTTGCCATTTGCCATTTACGGCGCCATGCGACAAACGGTAGAATAAACAGCAGAGAGCAGTAACATACATATCACAGGGCAGTTTGGATAAGACACATTATGTTTTGGATAAAACACGGACGTCTTTATTATAGAAGTAAACTCCGGCCACCCTTTGCCAATGTGGGCCGTCAGAGGGGGCTAGGTGAGGGGGGGATGAGCAGGAAAGACGAGGGAGTGAGGAGGGAGGGAGAAGGGAGTAGGGAGGGGAGAGGAGCTATACCCAGTCCAAAGCTGGGTATAGCTGTAAAAGTGTGAGCCTTGTTGAGCTTTTGGCGTTCTTATTACTGTCCTATACAGTACGCTGCAACATTTTGAAATTTCCTGTATATTTGGTGTTTTTATTCATACTGTCATATATATATATATATATATATATATATATATATATATATATATATATATATATATATATATATATTAAGACAATTATGTATTGGCCAAAAATAATTTATTATTCTTAATTAATTGAAGAGAAATACGTTTATTTGTGAAAATTGATGTCATTTTTATTATGTATTATATCATATTATACTATATTTTATCAACTTTATCACTATAAGTTACATTTAAGTTGAATAAGACCAAAGACTGATGAGCTCTCTGTTTCCTGCAGGGTTCAAGACATTTCTTCTCGATTTGATTCCAGCTGAAACCGCTTCGTCTGACGTCCACTTGGGTACGCTGCTTAACTTTGTGAGAGTGACTCTGGGACTAGTCTACAGACAGAAATGAGCTACGAAGATACAATCTGGTGTATTTGCAGCTCAATACAATTCAATAATACACACAGTCCCATCCAAATAAACAAATACAAACGTATTTGAATACATTCATGTAATTTGAAGACAACAATACTAAAGCACCAAATTCTTTTATGTTTGTCCTTTTTCTTAAGTAAGTAAGTAAGTAATCTTTATTTATATACCGCCTTTCACAGACCAGAGTCACAAAGCGGTTTACAATTGTTATTTTTTTACATTTCGCTGAGATCCATTCCTGGGTTATATTATGACAAATTTGTGCATCTATTTTAGTTAAATCAAAGAAAGCGTTGTCAAAAGAAAACAAAATAAATTAGAAACAAATACAAATTCAACCTTAAACGTTAAAGCTTTTGCAGTGGACTTTTGGGTTGGAAACCACCAATTATTTAACTGTTTGACCGATTTACTAAAAGCTACATCAAAACCCCATTCAGACAGGCTTACCTTAGAATCTCCGAGCTGTTACTAGAAGAACAATCCATTTAGAATCACAGATAGGAAGAAAAAAAGTGCTCTCCTCCTCCAGACTAAAGAAAAGTGCAGTCCTTCTTCAGGTCTAAAGAAAAGTGCAGTTCTTCTTCAGACTAAAGAAAAGTGCAGTTCTTCTTCAGGTCTAAAGAAAAGTGCTGTCCTTCTTCAGGTCTAAAGAAAAGTGCAGTCCTTCTTCAGGTCTAAAGAAAAGTGCAGTCCTTCTTCAGGTCTAAAGAAAAGTGCAGTCCTTCTTCAGGTCTAAAGAAAAGTGCAGTCCTTCTTCAGGTCTAAAGAAACGTGCAGTCCTTCTTCAGACTAAAGAAAAGTGCAGTCCTTCTTCAGGTCTAAAGAAAAGTGCAGTCCTTCTTCAGACTAAAGAAAAGTGCAGTTCTTCTTCAGACTAAAGAAAAGTGCAGTCCTTCTTCAGGTCTAAAGAAAAGTGCAGTTCTTCTTCAGACTAAAGAAAAGTGCAGTCCTTCTTCAGGTCTAAAGAAAAGTGCAGTCCTTCTTCAGGTCTAAAGAAAAGTGCAGTCCTTCTTCAGGTCTAAAGAAAAGTGCAGTCCTTCTTCAGGTCTAAAGAAAAGTGCAGTTCTTCTTCAGACTAAAGAAAAGTGCAGTCCTTCTTCAGACTAAAGAAAAGTGCAGTCCTTCTTCAGGTCTAAAGAAAAGTGCAGTCCTTCTTCAGGTCTAAAGAAAAGTGCAGTCCTTCTTCAGGTCTAAAGAAAAGTGCAGTTCTTCTTCAGACTAAAGAAAAGTGCAGTCCTTCTTCAGGTCTAAAGAAAAGTGCAGTCCTTCTTCAGGTCTAAAGGAAGGTTATGTCCTTCTTTGGTCTAAAGAAAAGTGCTGTCCTTCAGGTCTAAAGAAAAGTCTTGTGTCCTTGGATGCAAATTGTGGAGCCAACAAGGCAAATTGGAGTGAGCAAGACAAAATGGGAATGGAATTATATGGAAATTTGAAGGAAATCTTGATGTATTGGATTAATTCCAATTTGTGTGTAGAGTGTTGGTATACTTTTCACATTTGTGTTGGCTGCAGTCTCTTACTTGTTATTCAGCTCATTGAGTTGCATATTATTGTAGGAAATATGCTAAATTTATATATACGTCTTTTTTCTTTGCTGTCAGCCTTGGAACCCCAAACCCCAAACTGAGCTGTGAGGATGAAGATGAAGCCATGGAAGTGGACGAGTGTGAGGATGAAGAGGAACCCACGGAAGGGGACGAGTGTGAGGATGAAGAGGAACCCATGGAAGGGGACGAGTGTGAGGATGAAGATGAACCCATGGAAGGGGACGAGTGTGAGGATGAAGAGGAACCCATGGAAGGGGACGAGTGTGTGGATGAAGATGAAGCCATGGAAGGGGACGAGTGTGAGGATGAAGAGGAGGTGGATGAGAGCATTGAAGTCTGTCCCACACTTCCTCCTCCCAAGACCCCTCCACTATAGAATCCAACCAAAACCCACAACAGCCCAGGTCAATATGGCTAAAGTGGAAGCCATGGAAGTAGAAGTGTGTGTGAGGATGAAGAGGACGAGTGTGTGGATGAAGAGGAACCCATGGAAGTGGATGAGTGTGAGGATGAAGAGGAACCCATGGAAGTGGATGAGTGTGAGGATGAAGAGGAACCCATGGAGGTGGACGAGTGTGAGGATGAAGAGGAACCCACGGAAGGGGACGAGTGTGAGGATGAAGAGGAACCCATGGAAGGGGACGAGTGTGAGGATGAAGATGAACCCATGGAGGTGGACGAGTGTGAGGATGAAGAGGAACCCATGGAAGGGGACGAGTGTGAGGATGAAGATGAACCCATGGAGGTGGACGAGTGTGAGGAGGAAGAGGAGGTGGATGAGAGCATTGAAGTCTGTCCCACACTTCCTCTTCCCAAGACCCCTCCACTATAGAATCCATGGACTGGGAGGACGAAGACGGAATCATTCACAGAAAACTACAACTGATAGTGTACAAGCTCCACTCTCTCTCTCTTTAACCTCTCCCTTTCAGCTCATGAATAATCAAATATAAACTGTCAGCTTTTAGGTTAACAATCCAGGCATTGACTCTGCTATCAGCACTGCATCAGGGCCAAATGATTAATAAATTCATACTACTTCATCTGATGTGTCTAGAGGTGGATTAGAAACTATTTCTTTGGCATAGTCTTCTCGCTCATGGTTGTTGAAAATAAATAAAATCGCCTGTAATTTATTAGGTCTAATAAGTTTTAATCAAAATGTTTCTCGATATCACAGAATTATAAACACAAATAAATGTAGATGTAATAAAGTTCGATGTCTCAGCGCAAATCACAGCTGATTGAAAACAAAACAGCACAGCCTTGGATAGAAGAACAACAACAGACGACAAATGCAAATGTGCAAAAGTAAAAAACAAAACTACATTCAATTTATATATATATATATATATATATATATATATATATATATATATATATATATATATATATATATATCCATCCATCCATCCATTTTCTTCCGCTTTATCCGTTGCCGGGTCGCGGGGGCAGCAGTCTAAGCAGAGACGCCCAGACTTCCCTATCCACACACACCTCCTCAAGCTCGTCCGGGGGGACCCCTAGGCGTTCCCAGGCCAGCTGAGAGACATAGTCTCTCCAGCGTGTCCTGGGTCTTCCCCGGGGCCTCCTCCCGGTGGGACGTGCCCGGAACACCTCCCCAGGAAGGCGTCCAGGAGGCATCCTGAACAGATGCCCGAGCCACCTCAACTGGTTCCTCTCGACGTGGAGAAGCAGCGGCTCTACTCCGAGCTCCTCCCGTGTGACCGAGCTCCTCACCCTATCTCTAAGGGAGCGCCCAGCCACTCTGCGGAGGAAGCTCATTTCGACCGCTTGTATCCGCGATCTCGTTCTTTCGGTCATTACCCACAGCTCATGACCATAGGTGAGGGAGGGAACGAAGATTGACCGGTAAATTGAGAGCTTTGCCTTTCGGCTCAGCTCCCTCTTTACCACAACGGTCCGATACAGAGACCGCATCACTGCGCACGCTGCACCGATCCGCCTGTCAATCTCACGCTCCATCCTCCCCTCACTCGTGAACAAGACCCCGAGATACTTGAACTCCTCCACTTGAGGAAGGACCTCTCCACCCACCTGGAGAGGGCAAGGCACCTTTTTCCGGTCAAGCACCATGGCCTCGGATTTGGAGGTGCTGATTCTCATCCCAGCCGCTTCACACTCGGCTGCAAACCGTCCCAGTGCATGTTGCAGGTCCTGGTTCGTTGGAGCCAGCAGGACGACATCATCCGCAAAAAGTAGAGATGAAATCCTGTGGTTCCCGAACCGGACCCCCTCCGGCCCCTGGCTGCGCCTAGAGATTCTGTCCATAAATACAGTGAACAGAACCGGTGACAAAGGGCAGCCTTGGCGGAGGCCAACATGCACCGGGAACAGGTCTGACTTACTGCCAGCAATGCGAACACAGCTCTGGCTCCGGTCATACAGGGACCGAACAGCCCTCAGCAGAGGACCCCGGACCCCGTACTCCCGGAGGACCCCCCAAAGGACACCCCGGGGAACGCGGTCGAACGCCTTCTCCAAATCCACAAAGCACATGTGGACAGGTTGGGCGAACTCCCATGAACCCTCGAGTATCCGATGGAGAGTATAGAGCTGGTCCAGTGTTCCGCGACCGGGACGAAAACCACACTGCTCCTCCTGAATCCGAGATTCGACCATCGGACGAAGCCTCCTCTCCAGTACCTTGGAGTAGACCTTACCGGGGAGGCTGAGGAGTGTGATCCCACGATAATTGGAACACACCCTCCGGTCCCCCTTCTTGTAGAGAGGGACCACCACCCCGGTCTGCCACTCCATTGGCACCGCCCCCGATCGCCACGCGATGTTGCAGAGACGTGTCAGCCAAGACAGTCCTACAACATCCAGAGACTTTAGATAGTCAGGACGGATCTCATCCACTCCCGGCGCCTTGCCACCATGGAGGCTGCCAACCACCTTGGTGACCTCGGCCAGGGAGATGGAAGTATCCGCCCCAACATCCTCAGCCTCTGCCTCCTGGACGGGGGACGTGACGGGGGGATTGAGGAGAACCTCGAAGTATTCCTTCCACCGCCCGACAATATCCCCAGTCGAGGTCAGCAGCCCTCCACCCGCACCATACACGGTGTTGGCAAAGAACTGCTTCCCCCTCCTGAGGCGCCGGACGGTTTGCCAGAACCTCTTCGAGGCCGACCGATAGTCATGCTCCATGGACTCTCCGAACTCCTCCCAGTCCCGGGTTTTTGCCTCTGCAACAGCCCGGGCCGCGGCACGTTTGGCCTGCCGGTACTGGACAGCTGCCTCAGGAGTCCCACGAACCATCATTGCTCGATAGGACTCCTTCTTCAGCCTGACGGCATCCCTTACTGCCGGTGTCCACCACCGGGTTCGGGGATTGCCGCCGGGACCAGCACCAGAGACCTTGCGACCACAGCTACGAGCCGCCGCATTGGCGATAGAGGAAGAGAACATGGTCCACTCGGACTCGATGTCCCCCTCCTCTGCCGGGACCTGGGAGAAGCTCTCCCGGAGGTGTGAGTTGAAAGTCCGTCTGACAGGGGGCTCAGCGAGACGTTCCCAGCAAACCCTCACTACACGCTTGGGCCTGCCAGGTCTGACCGGCCTCCTGCCCTGCCAGCGGATCCAACTCACGACCAGGTGATGATCGGTTGACAGCTCCGCCCCTCTCTTCACCCGAGTGTCCGAGACACGCGGTCGAAGGTCAGATGATACGACTACAAAGTCGATCATCGACCTCCGGCCTAGGGTGTCCTGGTGCCACGTGCACTGATGGACACCCTTGTGCTCGAACATGGTGTTCGTGATGGACAGGCCGTGACTGGCACAGAAGTCCAACAACTGAACACCGCTCGGGTTCAGATCAGGGGGGCCGCTCTTCCCGATCACCCCTCTCCAAGTGTCACTGGCATTTCCCACATGGGCGTTGAAGTCCCCCAGGAGAATAACGGAGTCCCCGGGCGGTGCACTGTCCAGTACCCCTCCCAAGGACTCCAAGAAGGCCGGGTACTCTGCACTACCGTTAGGCCCGTAGGCCGTCACAACAGTGAGAGACTTGTCCCTCACCCGGAGGCGGAGGGACGCGACCCTCTCATTCACCGGGGAGAACTCCAACACGTGGCGGCTGAGATGGGGGATATATATATATATATATATATATTATAATTGTCAAAAATATGTTATGTAGCCAAGATTTAATATGGCAGTAATAGACACATTAACAGTGCTTTGCTGCATTGGGAGGAAACATTACATCTACCAATCAGAGGGTAACATAACCTCTGTCCAATCAGCTTTGTGCTCTTGACTCCAAGCCCCGCCCCCAGTTTAAACCGCCATCTTAGAATCTTGACGCGGATGTGACGCGGATTTGTATCGAAATACGCGCGGACCAAAACAAGCCACTAAAAAGGTACATTTCCTGCTTTTTTAATCACGATACGAACTGTCTGCAGCCTCTGCACACTTACACACAGGAGAACCACTTACCCACGCCGTTTGGAGCACAGTTCAGCCGCAGAAACGAGTCCATTTGAGCTCAAAGCGACATGAACCGTCACAGAGCTAGCGCCAGTGTTAGCATTAGCATGTCTTCACTCATAAATACAGTGTTTCATGGACCTGGGGTTACTTTCGAAATTGCATTGAATTTATGGGAATACACACGTTCATAATTGCTATTTTAATGGCCCGTGTGTGTTTAGTTTTATTTTAAAATAGGGTAAAAAGTCTAAGTGCTTTGCTCAGCTGTGAGAGGAAGGCGCCAAACTCCAGCTCCGTTTGACATGTTTACAGTCTATGGTCAGACACAAACGTTTTATGGGTCTTAATGTCTTAATATGAAAGGCTCGCAACTTAATATATCCCAATAGTACTAGTAAGTAAGTAAGTAATGTTTATTTATATACCGCCTTTCACAGACAAGGGTCACAAAGCGGTTTACAATTGTTATTTTTTTTTTTGGGCATTAGTCTCTCACTCCACACAGAGATGGGAGGGGCCAGTACAGGAGGCGCATGCCAGAACTATTGTACATATTTTTAGTGGTAGGGGAAACCGGAGTACCCGGAGGAAACCTACGCAGACACGGGGAGAACATGCAAACTCCACTCAGAAAGGCCCTGGTCCGACCGGGATTCGAACCCAGGACCTTCTTGCTGAGAGGCGAGAGTGCTATCCACTCAGCCACTGTGCCGCCAACATTATGATATAGTATGATCCCTGATTATTATGTAGTGTTTGAGTTTTGCATTGATGTTTTGAAACCAGCCAAAAAGGCTCATTGTCACATTAGACCCTCTGTTATGACTCAATACATTTATCTCAACTTGACAAGACAAAGCTAAAGTGGACATCCTAATAAATGTCCCCTGATTCTAAACAAGACATATACAGTATTACTGCTGTATTAATTATGAAGTTACTCAGGTTGTGTTATTTTTAGAGTTTGCTTTTACAACGCCACTTCAATACAGAATCTACAGACCACTTGCAATTCATTTTGATTCAAAGTTTGAAGTGATTAAAAACAAGCCTTTAATAAAATAAATTATGTTATTCCCTTAATACTCAACCCCATTTGTGAATAAAGGAAAAAAAGTTTTGTTTTTGTTTTATAGAAGCGTGTCTCACATTTTCAGGAAGACTGAAAAGATTGTAGCTGCATGAACTTGAAACACTGCCTCTTCGTGTGTAGTCCTGACTCTGGGCACCAGCAGGATGCCAGTCCCTGTGCTCCTCAGAGTCCCAGCAGGAGGCCAGTCCCTGTGCTCCTCAGAGTCCCAGCAGGAGGCCAGTCCCTGTGCTCCTCAGAGTCCCAGCAGGAGGCCAGTCCCTGTGCTCCTAAGAGTCTGAGTTGGTTCATATGTCACAAACATGTCACAAATGTACTTTGGTAGAATTTGGAATATTGTTTTTTTTTTTTTCAAGTCATATTTTATCCCAGTCTGTGTGTTTCTCAGAGCCACCATGAGCTCCGCTGCAGAGGAGGCGATGGACCCAACAGCGGCTGAAGACACTGAATTAAAGTCTGAAGAGAAACTTGGCTCCAGTCCTGACAAGTCCTATTTGTTTGGTACGGCTGCGTTTTAACACAACAACACACTATGAACACAACAATGGCTGCACAATATGTCAAGAAAATATTGTCACTGCCATATCCACGTCACAATGATGTGCTGTGATATTGAGTTGTTAATATATGTGAATCTTGGGTTTTTAATTTAATTTAATTTTAATTTTGTTACCTTATTTTGACTCGTAGACTAGTAGAGATGGGAAACATGTTTGTTGTTGTTTATTGAGAGCTTCGATCGTCGCGAGTAAATGTATCCAGGATTTACTTGCTCAGCTCAGTATTCTGTGAGGCGTTTGCATGTTCCACCTGTGTCTGTTTTCCTCAACTCCTCTCCCAGATTATTTATAATATATTATCTACATTTACATCCCTAGTTGTGAATGTATTTAGATTCTAATCCTAAATGGTGACCGCATATGAAGCCAAGAAACTATTGTGATACACTGTTCGTTCCCAGGAGCCGGAGAGATCGTAGAAGGCAAACGGGCAAAGAAAAGTGTGGAGCGTCTGGACATCCAGGTCCCGAAGAAGACAGAGAAGCTGAGCATCGCCAACGGTAATGAGCAGACAACACACTCATTATTTCCTGTTTCCAGCTGCCCTACTGAGCCTGACTACCATTCTCTACTCTACTCTCTCACACTTTAGCATCTGGTACTATATACTAACTACTGAGCCACAACAAACCAGTATCAGTGGAAATGTTTTGGTAACCTGGCTTCGAGCAGAACTCTGGCCAATTACTGTCAGTTTTAACTGTTAGTACCAGCTCGGCATGGATAGAACTAGGACCAAGGAGGACTAAAAACTAGGGAAACTTGGACCCCGCTCCCAGTGTGGAGTGAGAGGACAAATGCCCACAATTGTAAACCGCTTTGTGACTCTGGTTTGTGAAAGATAAGATAAGACTTTATTAATCTCACACAGGAGAAATTTACATGTCACATTGGCAAGGATAGGAACACTAGGCGGTATATAAATAAAGATTACTTAATTCCCCCAGCCTGTGATATAGGGAATTCATTGAATTCCTGAATTGTTTGATTGGATTTTAGGTTAACATTTGTCAATGGAGCAAGTATCTTCGGTCACTGTTGTCTCTCTCTTTGGTCTCTCTCTGGTCTCTCTCATCCCTCTATGGTCCCTCTAGAGTAGGGCTGGTGGAAACAGGCCTTTAACGATAATGTTCCCTGTCCGTTTATTTACATATGCCCCAACATATTGAACATTTCATTATGAAGTCGGTGGGATTGCATCTGTGTTGCCTGAAGGGAGCTGTAATGAGCTGTGGTACAAGTCACTTTAAGTCACTGCATTAAGACTGAAATAACCTGCACTGCTATTGACACTGTTTCTTGATTGCCACTTTCTAATTGCCACTTTTTTGTACATAATATGTTCTGCAAATATATCTTATTTTATCGTATCCAGCAGAGGGCACACCATGCACAGTTTGTGGTACTCTATTAAATCTGCCTGAAAGAGGCAAAGAAGAAGTCATTATCACATTTTCAGTAACATTAAAACAATAAACATTGAAATTAGGAAATAGAAATTAATCTTTCTTTATGCAGCACTTTCAAGTCACAAAGAAACGTTTCTATTAAGTGGAGGATTCCACCAAGTGGTACATTGGTGCTGTAGCTGCCCTGAGGCAATCTGCCAGAGGAAGGCTGCCAGTCTGCACCATCACTACTTTTCTCACACACAGCTGTTGTCTTCCAGGCAGCGGGGAGAAGCTGGGGGACATCCTTCGCACCAGTCACCAGCTCAACAAGATGAAATCTGTGGATCTGGTTCCACTGCACACTCTGCTGTTCGACCGCCGCGGAAAAGTAAACCTGAGATTACAAATGCACTTGACAACTGCTATGAATTTAGATAGAAAGATAGATACTTTATTGATCCTCGTTGGAGAAGCTCAGGCAAAAACACATTCATCCACACAAACAAAACAATTAAATTGATAATCCTGAAAAGCTAACAATAGTAATAATAAAATGCAAATGCATGCAGAGGTGGAGAAGCTGCTTGGTTCAGACCATTTTCTCTGCTTAGTCCAGAGTAAAATGATGAATGCTTCATTAGCATTTTTCATAAAGTTAGCATTCCTCCAGTGAACTTTTGCCTGATCCGCTTGGTTCGGACCACAAATCCTCTCCGCTCCGGTCTGGACCAGTGCAAAACAGTTTATTACACAGTAGTGATGGGTAAATGAAACCTCACGTATCGTTTCGGCACATCCAACGAACTGTATTGATACTGTGCCGCAACAGTGTTGCTTGTGCTGCTCTATACTGACGCCTGGTGGATCTGATAAATCATTGCATCCAACTCACTGATTCAATGAGCTTTACATACTTGTCTGCACACAATATTACGTAACTGCATTGTCTGTTATTTTATTTTTATGTGAAAATTAAAGTGATAGTTGTGAATGTATTCATTAAGCAAAATGTCATTGAGTGATTTTATATATATATATATATATTTTTTTTTTTTCAAAACAATAAGCATGTCCAAAGTGCACTTTAAACCCTGGCAACTAAAGTATACTTGAAAAAACCTTTGACATTTTCTACACTTCAATTTCTCGAAATCATTCTTCAAGACTGATGTCAACATAAACTTTCAGGTCCGACAGGGATTCGTACCCAGTTCTCTCAAACGCGAGGCGAGAGCGCTGTCCACTCATCCACCATGCCTAACTAGATTTTGCGTTTCAAACTAAATATTGATTGTAGATAAAGCGTGAAATGTAAAATACAATAATTGCCTTATTTGCTGTTATTTGCAGTATCACACTGCAGAATACTTTCTTTTAGTTGCAGGTTCAATTTTTTATGCTGTAAAATGGGATGCTTTTCCTTTTTGAAAGGGTTATTTTCTTTTTCTGAGAGCGGTTCATACCGGTGACACTTGCAGATGCGAAACACAGTTTGCCGTATCGGTGACAAGCGACACTGCGGCTGTATTGGTCACGTGGCTTTTTCATAAAGCGACACGCGCGCCGATACGAGGTTTCGCTAAACGAACTCGGCACATGCGCCGGTGTATCAGTGTTGCTGGACCCATCACTATTACACAGTAATTTACAGACTTTCTGGTCTCTCTCTTCATCTTTAGATCCTCTCTGGTCTCTTTGATCTCGCTTTGGTTTCTCTCTGGTGTCTCTCTTGGTCTCTTACTTGTCTGCAAATTTTCGTTGACGGCAACGGCGGATTTTGCAAGAGCCAATCAGGAGCCAGTTTGTCCCCACTCGCACTGCCTCAGCCGAGTTCAAGGAGAGAAGGCTCCTGATTGGTCAGTTGTTAGGACTCACATCTGCAATTACGTCAATTTAAGTCAATATAACAATATAAACATCATGATCGCAAAAAAGCACTAAACAACAGATTTGTAAAGCTCCTTTTGTCTTTCCAGCTGTCGTCAATAAAGAAGAACATTCGTCTGTTCAGTGGTTTTCCCTTCGACGCAGATAGTGAGCTGTTCGTGAAGAAACGGGACAAACTGCAGAAGTGAGATTCACACATTCATGGTCTCTCTCTCTGGTCACTCTTTGGTGTCTCTCTTTGGTTTCTCTGGTCTTTCTCTTGGTCTCTCTGGTCACTCTTTGGTTTCTCTGGTCTTTCTCTTTGTCTCTCTCTGTGTCTCTGGTCTCTCTCTGGGACTATGGTCAATGGCTCTTGGTGATCATGGTGTGAACAGGCGTTTGTGTTGTAGGAGCCTCACAAAGGCGAAGCTGAGTGTGGTGTGTAATGTGCTGGACCTGGAGAAGAAGGGGACGCACTCAGACCTGGTGGAGCGCATCATGCTCTTCCTGGTGTCGCCCAAGAGCAGCGGCAAGGTCAGAGCTCGAGCTTTATGGTCACAACTAGCAAAGACCACAATTATTAAAGTTCTTTAGACTTAAAAAGGTCTAAAATCTGAATTCCTGGAAATGTTTCTTTTGAGTTTGATTGGATTTTAGGTTAAGATTCGTCAATGGAGCAAGTATCTTCGGTCACTGTTGTCTCTCTCTTTGGTCTCTCTCATGTCCCTCTCTGGTCTCTCTCTTTCTGGGGTTCTACTTCTGGTCCTCTCTGGTCTCTCTGATCCCTCCCTGGCCCCTCTCTGGTCTCTCCCCGGTCTCTCGCTGGTCCCTCTCCCTTTTTTAAACATACAATATCGACTATCACTGTTGGTCAGTAATATCTCAGTTATAGACTCGTATCTGGTCAGAGCTGAGACCGATGTTTGAGGCCGTTCTAACTTTCCTTCATCTCCAGCGTTTGCCCAAGAAGAAAAAACGCTCCAAGAAGAGGCTCTCAACCACTGAGTCCAAGCAGAAGAAGTCCGCCGCGAAAAGCAGCCGAAAAGAAAAGGCCACCTCCAGCCCCAAGAAGTCAAAGACCGGGTCCAAGTCCAAGGCCATCGTCATGGACTCCAGCAGTGATGAAGATGAGGAGACGGAGCGGCCCGCAGCTGAGAGTGATGGCTCCGAGGCTGAGGGCTCTGAAGGGTCTGAGGGTTCTGAGGGGTCCACAGGCTCCGCAGGGTCTGGGTCTGAGTCTGGAGACAAACAAGAGGAAGAGGAGGTGTCTGAGGAGGAGGACGATGATGAGGAAGAGGTGAGACTGAACAGCAGCGTCTGTTTTTCTAGATGAAGCTGGGCGCATCATTTAGAGACTGATGAACAAGTCACATTTAAGCACAAATTATTATAAATACTTAGATAATGCTTTCACAGAAAAAGGGTCCCTCTCCTGAGCTGTATTCATTAGTAATGTTCAGATGTACGCTTCATAATAATCATTTACTCTATTGCACCATCCAGAGGTCAACATTATACAACTGCTTAATTTCCAGCCGAGATTCATCCCCGGTTTGACACTTGCAAGGATGCGGTACCTTTTAACACAGTTGGCCGGTCGGTGTACAAGCGATTACAGCATCTGTATCGGTCACGTGGTTTTTTTAAAGCCGACACGCGCGCCGATACGGGGTTAGCATAACGAACTCGGCAACATGCGCCGGTGTATCAGTGTTGCTGGACCCATCACAACTTTTTTTTTTTTTTTAACTGGCACTCCAGCCTGCTTACGGTGTCCCGACCTGTGTCACAGGCAACACTGATTCTTTAAGACTTCTTTTCCTGGATGTGATCCATTTGTCCTTCTAAATACACCCAATCGCCAAATAAGTTTCAATATCTTAATCCGCAATGGCATTTCCTCCTAACTCAATAGGAGATGTCTGTAAAAGCAATGTTAGCAGATGCGTAGGGCTTTAGCTTGTTCCACATCAAGTTTTTTTAAAGTAGTCTCAAGCAGCAGACAAAAAGCAAACAACCATAATTAGAGAGTAGGACGCATCACAGCCCTATTAAATATTTAATCGAGATATCTACGTGACGTCCAGATGCCTCGAATCGCGGGGCATCCGCCCATACTGCGAGGCAAGCAAACGCGTATGATAGTTGGCGTGCACCCTTAGGGCCCGCATAGAACATCGTTCAAAATGTTTTGCCTGTTTTTTGGCTGCAGCAAAGGAGAGACAGGGAAAAAAAATCAAGTTGTGTTACCGCTGCCAGCCGTCCTTAATTCACACGGCTCAAAAACTGAAGACATCTCAAAGAATCGAGGAGAGATATGGCACAACCATACGCAAACAACAAAAAACTAATAGCCACCAGAGCGCCCGAATATGCTCGGATCATTTCATTTTCTGCTAGTGAAAATCAAATTTGATGTCGCGGATTTGGTGCTATTCCGAAACAAACAGAAGTTTAAAGGATAAAATATCTGTCTGACTGCAACGTGGGGTTGTCCATAGACTGTAGCTTAGCTTGTAGCATAGCTGTTATCATAGTTGGGCTCACACAGGACCTCAGCCAGGTTCACAGCGGTATCTGACTATACCGAAGGCCACAGAACATCACGTGAACGACTGAGCCGTGCTCGAGGGTTCGCCCCGTACTAGTATTTATATAAAATATACTGCTCCTCACTGTAGCGCAGGAAAGCTCATTGAATTTGAATGTAATCTCCTTATTTCCACTGCAGCTTGTAGCCACACATAGATCCATGGTGTAACAATAAACACATTAAATGTTAAATCGGCGGAATACATTCTATAATTAGACATCTTAATACACATGACAGAGGTTTTCAGAAGTTTATTGTTCACGGTTTTCATGAAAAATAACACTGTTTTAATCAGTGGCGGCTGGTGGAATATTCTACGGGCGGGGCTATGATTATGATGGACTAGATATATACCCAGCAGTAAGTAGTTTACACTGACTGTTGTGACTGAGCTCACACCTGAAAGAGTGCAGTTGGCGATGGAATCAGCTGGTGGCACTATTGAAGTGGTATGAACTCAAAAAAACGCTCTTGGACATGAATGGCTTTATGATGAAGCGAATCACAAGCACAAGCTGACCACTGAGTAGAATATCCATTGTTTATCGCTATTGAATGGAGACAAAGTCTGCACTCCTGATTTTCTCCAATGATGCACTCTCTCATGGACTGACAGCATGCAGTCCAGGGGGGGGAGTTCATTCTGTACGGTCTTAGAGGTTCCCCTTCTTAAAACACAGTGGCGGTCTGCAGGTGTTCATGTAGTACTGCATCCCAGTGATTTCTACATGACCACCAATTCTCTGAAAACACCAGGATTTCCTGAGGATTTCATTTCATCATCGGCCTCGCAGGGCAAGTTCAAATTACACCACAGAATTTGACCAGTCTATTATTTTTGATAAGGATGTGCCTATTCTTGTCAACCTCCTCATTGTGCTTTCTGATCCCTACCCTGTAGCTTTTCATCCCAGTGGGTAGAAATATTTTATCTTCCCAAACATAGCTATTGAAGGGATTTTGCATGTGGATACCAGTCTGCTCATGCTTCTTTGCTTCAGATCAGGTCATACCTGTCTTGATCCATTGCTGGGGTCAGATCCTGATGTTTGAAACAAGAGGCATGGGAAAGCAAAAAAAAAAATTAAGCATTAGCCTACGCTACATGCTGTAGCCAAAGATTTGGGCGCTGAACCAGGTCCTGGAAAAAGTACGAGTGTACCGTCTCCCCCTGTCGCTGGACTGCCTGACTAATGGTAATTATTTGGGATGATCAGGTCCAAGCTCTTTAACCTCAACCTTCTGCCTGGTAGTGATCTTCTCTCAAACGGTATTGTTTTGTAGTGCGTTACTACACTGGTTCTTCGAAGCGCTTAGTTTTCTATTATGGGGTACCGAGTAAAAAAGGGGGTATATTGAAGCGTGGGTCGAGGCGTGCTTTTGTGTTGGTGACGTATGTGGTGACAGTTCGAAGCCTCGCGGTAGCGGCCCGCACCACGTGACGGTTCATATAGTGCTTCATATAGTCGAGAGAGGCATTGCTTTGACAGGTGCTTTGTGGATCCGCGGCTGTGTACCATAGACCTGTATTGGCTGTCCCCGTCTGCCTCTGTGTGCGTTACTTGTGTGTGTGTGCGTTACGTGTGTGTGCGTACGTGTGTCGTGCGTGATGTGGAGCAGTCCTGAGAAACACCTTCATATGAAATAAATTAAATAAAACGTTTCACTTAGTTAAAACCTCATATATCAGGCTTCAAGTTATTAGTAATAATACGTGGATAATACATTTCACAACAGCTGTGTGGCGCAGTCGGTTTATGACGGACTCCGGAAGCAGTAGATATAGGCGTTTCGAAATCCAGTCTACCGATCAATAAATTTTGTGTTGCAAAGTAAACTGAAATATTTATTTATTGGGAATAAATGGTTTGTTGTGTTTTAATTACTCCCACCTCTTGTTAGTTTTCACTCCATTAATCACTTTCTGTAAGAACTGTACTTACTCTTGGATGTGTTTGTTGTATCAACACAATTGACTGAAAGACTCAAAATAGTTCATAGTTCATGAAGCATCATTTTCAAACACAACACGTTAGACCATAGATTGTAAATATACATTTATACATTAGATCATCACCATTCATGTAAGCACTTAAGAGTGTTTCATGTATTTTTTTGTCCACATGATGGCGTAGAGGGAGCATGATTCACCTCGAGCCTTCGACTCCTGGGGCTGCGAGTAATAGGCTGCGATCCCTCAAGGCTTCATGGGGGCTTCATATTGCCATCACTATTGTCTTTGAGTGAATCTAACTGAATTATTTTTTTCTCGTTCTCATTTTGCGTCTCTTTCGTTCGTCTCAAACTCCCACAGTTTCTTGACCTGTCATCACTGCTGTAAACGGAGTCTCTGACGTGACAGTACAGGTCGCGGGCGATCCCGCCCCCTCAGGGCGCACTTCTCTTGCGTCCCCCAAATCGGCTTATTCTCTTGCATTGAAGAGGAGCTACTGCGCATGTACAACTCTTTAAACGAGAGTCCATAGACGGGCTCAGGGCCAATGCTTTTGCGCCCAGAGGCGGGAAAATACGTTCCTCGGTCAGTCCGACACAGACAAGCTGATGAGCTTAATCAATCCAACTCAGCATAAACTATAAAGTATTCTTCCACATCTGAAATAAAGAACACATAAATTTCGAAATAATTTTAATGTTATTATTTTTTTTAAGTTTTTTATTAGGTAACATGACAAGTTGTGAGTGGTGGAGGCGGCGCCCTAGCGCCTTCTATTGGCCGGCCGCCACTGGTTTGAGGCGACCAATATGGCGGACCGCGTAACCTGTATGTAACGATAAACAATAATATACATTTTTAGGATGCATTTCTGAGGATCTGATTCATGGATTTAGGTTTGAGTATATATTTGGGTCATAACTGCTGAAGTTTCAAATATCTCTGTTCAGTTTTCATGTAGTTCGAGAGAGTTTAGTTGTTGAACGGTCAGTTATAGATAGCTAGCGAGGGTTGTAACTCGCCCAGGTTGTCCTTTCCAGGTATGGCTGCGTGGCTGCTTAGTCACGTGACCGTTTAGGATCCTTATAGTGATTTCTACTGGCCTCCCCAGTCCTGCCAGATAAACACGTAATAAATTATTTAACTTTTTTACTTCATATTGAACTTTGTCAATATGAGGAAGCCATGTGGTTTTCCATCAAAAATTACACTAAAAATTGGTTTCCTTCACTGCTCAAGCGCTAATTCATATTGTTCAGGAGAAGAAAGACTACTTCTGAACGGCTGAAGAAGACACATAACTTGTGAACCACAAATGGTTCACTTCCTATTTACAGGACAGATCCTTCAGTCCTTTTTAACCTGTAATTGCTCCATTTGGCTGGAGTGTCATCGGGAGACCATGGGCACTTAACTTTCCACAGTTATGCAGATGATACACAGCTGTTACATCTCCATGTCTCCTGATGGACACCAGGCCAATGGATGCTTCTTTTTAAACTGCATTATTTTAGACTGCCATTCCTGGATGGCAGAAAAACTTTTCTCCAAGCTTAACCAGGAAAAAAACTGAGGTTTTTGTGATCGAGTCCGGTCTGTGGCCCAGAGAGAGGAAACTTTTACCTAAACTCCAATCACACTCTTTAATCACATCATCCCAAGTGGAACAACCTCGGGCGTAATTTTGACCTCTGAGCTGAGGACTTTTATTCTCACATGAAGCAATATCACAAAAATAGGGTTTTTATCATTTAAGAACATTGCCAATGTCCGCCCCATTCTCTCTCGGGGCAAAACGGAGACGCGATGCATGCTTTTTTCACCAGTCGCATTGACTACTGCAATGCCCTGCTCTCTGGTCTCCCAAAAAGAAACACATTTCAGGTTACTGCAAAACTCGGCTCACGGTTTTTTCCTGACTAAGACCGGGGGGCGGGGACCACATTACCACCGGTTTTAATTTCGCTGCATTGGCTCATGTGTGTTTCATGATCGTTTTAAGGGTTCTTTTAATACACACTGTAAACCCTAACTTCAATCCTACTTCAGATATCAAAGTTATTTTAAATAGATTTTTCCCAGTAAGTAGATATTACTCATTTATTGTTAGTTTATTTAAAGCTTGCCTATGTCACTCAGGGTTTTCTTTGAATTGAACTGTTTCTGTTCAAGTAAGCCTCACTTCTGACATTTTGATGTGTAGAGTCTTTACTGAGGCAGGTGTGACAGTGGCAGGGTGTCCTGGTGGCTGAGTGGTTAGCACCATTGCCTCTCAACTACAGAGTTCTGAGTACGAATTCCAGTCGGAGCATAAGTAGAAATTTAAACTTTATTGCAATCACTCGAGTTACTTGGTAATATCAAGTAAACGATGTACTCGAGGAATTCAAGTGAAGTTAATACGCAATTTATTTCCATGGTTTTTTCAAGTAAACTTTACTTGTCAGGGTTTACACAGACGTCAACACATCACCCCAGTCCTTTATTCCCTACACTGGCTTCCAGTTTTGTTTCAAGTTGATTTTAAAATGTTACTCTTTGTTTTTAAAGCCCTCAGTGGTCTTGCCCCTCTGTACTTGTCCAAACTTTTGACTGTCCGTGGCTCGGGCAGATCATTGAGGTCCTCATCTCAACTCCTCCTGGAAGTACCAAGGACTAGGTCCAAACACTGGAGAGACTGGTCCTTCTCAGTCGCTGGACCCAGACTCTGGAACAAGCTGCCCCCTGATATGCGTGTTCTTACTGATTTTGAGCTTTTTAAATCGAGGCTCAAAACGTATTTACTTCAGACTGGCTTTTAACACTTTTATCACTCGGTGACACTTTTTAATGCTTTTGAACGGTTTTATTGAATTATTGCATAAATGCTTGAATGGATTTTATGTAATTTTATTGTGAAGCACTTTGATCGCCTTGAGTGTTGTAAAGGGCTCAATTGATTGATTGATTGAACATCTTTGCCAGCAATGACATTTACTAAACAATCCTAAACAATTCTCCAGCTTCAATTTCTTGATATTTGGGAGCCGAACCATTACTTTACTATCTATGTTCAAAAAAAAGGACGCCACTCAGAATTTGATACAGAATTCTGAGTTCAAGTAAACAATGTTTATTTCTCTTTACAATTACATATTAATACAAAACTCTTGAATTTCTTATTTCCCTAACAAACCCTATGAGCTGAGCCAATTTAACTATCCCTGCAGGCCTGAAAATGTAATGAGAGGACAACCAGGTGCTCTGCGATGTCCCCCCTCTCTCTGTCCCTGGCTCAGACTGACTAGCAAATCGTACAGAACAGTTTTTATGAAAATGTGTAGAAAGAAAGGAAGTGCCTTTGCAGACGTCATCGGTCTGCGTCTGGTCTGGTCTGGTTTTGGGTCTCATCCCTTGTCCTGATGATAAGAGATGATACTCCGTTCCTATAAGGATACTATATCGCAGAAACCAACCTTGTCCTTGAACTTACTAGACTCAGACTAACATAAAATACAAACGGCCTTCTATGCAAATGTCACGATTTGGTCCTACACCACCAAAAATACTTCCACTCTTAGGAAATGATGCAACCAGATAAAAGTTAACAGTGTTTTAATGTGTTTCATTCAACGTTAAAAGCAACGTATTTTAAAAGAGTCAATGGAGTCTAAAAATAGGTCTAAGCCTGTTTCTCCAGTAAAAGTATGTACAATATATACAAGGAGCGCCTAAACTACTTTGGGGAGGGGAGTAAGGGGGATAACACGACGTCCAGAGGAAAGGGTTGAGCAGTCCAGTCTGTGAGGGCCCGTCCACAATCACGCCCCTCTAAAATGGCCTGTGGACAAGGGAGATTCTCAATGCCAGCCAGGTACGACAAAACACACAGGGCACAGGAGTAGCAGAGTAAGTGGGGAAGCGTCCCTTTTACTTATCTGGCGTGCGCAGTCTAGCCACCCCGGGCTGGTCTGGTCCGCTGCTGATCCAGGCCGAGCTGGCTCCGCGTACCAGTCTGCCCGCACTCCCAGAGCGCGCGTCTGCCTACGTCTGTCCGAGCCTCGGTCACACTGGTTGGGGGGGACAGGGGAAATCACACTTAAAAACACCACACTGCACACACACTGCAAATTCCCCCAACGACAGTGAGAGGCTGCAGACGTCCCTTTACTTAGCTTGGTGCTGGCCTTTTCTCCACACTCCTGGTGGGCTCCGATAGTGCGCGCGCGCAGATTGGATGTGCGTCTCGAACCCTGGCGTCCTGTAAATCCCTGGGCCGCTCCTGCTGCACCGCGTCCGTCCGCCACAGAAGACTCGCGACCCGTCTCGTCTGTTCTGCGCTGATCCTGGTGCCGCTCCGGGCTGGTACCGGGGCTGGTACAGGGGCTGCTCCTGGGGCCGCTCCTCGAGTGTCCTGCGTGTCCCTTCTGCGTGTCCCTGCTGTCGAGTCTCGTCTCAAGCTCTGCTTCAGTTTCCGCGTCCCTTGAGGGCCGGCTCTGGGCGGTTTATATAGTTCATCCTATAGATCTGCGTCCAATAGTATGCCGCTATAGGTCTATTGGGGGGGGGTGTGGTTACAGTCTGCGGTGCTCCACTCGCTAAAGTCATTCTGTAGCCCCTGCAAACTACACACAAGGTATACGGTGGCTATAGGCAAATGGTTAATGTGCATAGAGTTTTCAGCCCATACCTCGCCATTTGACATTTCCCCCCTCGTTTAACTTTGGTCGTCCCGGCCAATCATTACCTAAAACGTGGAGGTGGATTGCCCAAGTTGCGCCTCTGCGACCTTCTGACCTGTGGTTCTATTGGAGCAGCCTGGGGTCTCTGGGGTCCAATTTCAACCGGACTTGGTGCTCTGGGTTGAACTTGTTGCGAGACCATTACTCCTGGTGTCCAGTAGGCTCCAGGTGGCAGACAGGGCTGTTGACTGGGTCCCGCTTGTGGCTGTGGCTCAGTTGGGGGAGCCTCCTGTAAAATAGTCAGAGGACACAGGCGAAGGTTATTCCTATGTAATGGTGCGAGTAGGTCCCCCTCTACCTTCTGGTCTAACCACATATACAGGGTGGCCTTCACTTAGGTTTTTCACCACCACCCATGGCTCAAACTTCCATCGATGTGCCAGCTTGCCCTGTGCTCGCCAGCGGAAATTTCGAATCAGCACCCGTTCACCCGGTAGAAGTGGCGGTAGACGAGCCCTCTGATCATGCCTGTGTCTGTCTTGCTCCCTGCGACGTTGCGAATTTTGCTCGGCAACATCATATGCACCTCGTAAAGCTTTCTGGTGTTGCCTAACCCAGCTGTCCAGCGTGTAAGAATCAAGGGGGGGTTTCAAGCCGACCACCCAATCCACAGGTAGCCTTGCATGTCTCCCAAATAACACATAGTGTGGAGTCATCCCAGTTGCGCTGTGGACTGTATTATTATATGCTTGGACTAGCGCTGGTAGCCGTTGGGACCACTGGGCCTGCTGGCTCTCCGAAAGCGAATTAAGCAGTTGCAGGAGAGTTTGATTAAACCGTTCACAGGCTCCGTTTCCCTGGGGGTGATAGGCTGTGGTTCGACTTTTTGTACAACCATATATCTGACACAACTGGCTCATAAGGGTGGATTCAAACGCCCCTCCACGATCTGTGAGGATTCTTTCAGGGCACCCAAAGGTCACGATCAAGTTGCGATAGAGGGCTTGGACAGTGGATTCTGCGGATTGATCCCTGGTTGGCACAGCAATAGCATATTTAGAAAATAGATCGGTCAGGACAAGAATATAGGGGTACTTATCTTGGGGCCGTCCTAGCGAGAGATAGTCCACGCCCACAACTTCGAACGGATAGGAGGTATGGATTGGAAGCAAAGGGGCCCGTCCATCTGGTCCAGCCTTTGCGCAGATACACTGGGGACATTCTTCTGTCCATTTCTTGATGTCCTGAGTCATCCCCGGCCAGTAACAGCGTGCCCTGATGATGGATGCGGTCCGGTCGCCACCGGGATGCCCCATCTCTCCATGGTATGCCTTCCATACCTCCATTCTCCGTTGATGCGGGACAAGAACCTGAAAGACAGAGGGGCCAATGCATCCCTCTTCCCGGCACCTCCCCAGAACCCCATCACAAATATATAGTCTGTCCCACTCCTTTAGCATTAATGTCATATTACGGGACATGTCCGCATTAGTCTCTGGTCGAGTTATCCCTTGTTCCTTCCACTGTATTATCTGAACCAGTTCTTGGTCTTCAACCTGCTGTTCTCTCCAGGCGTAATCTCTAGAGACAATGATCTGGTCTACTTCAGCCGGTTCCGCCAGAGATGGACTGGTCAGTCTGGAAAGTGCGTCTGCATTTCTGTTCTGTTTGCCTGGGCGGTATTTAATAGTGTAGGTGAAGTTGGCCAGTTGGGCCACCCACCTCTGTTCTACGGCACCCAAGCGTGCGGTCTCCAGGTGTACCAGAGGGTTGTTATCTGTATAGACTACAAACTCAGAACCATACAGGTAATCTTTGAACTTCTCCGTAACTGCCCACTTTAGCGCCAGCAACTCTAATTTGAATGAGCTATAATTTTGGTCATTTTTCTCTGTTGGCTGGAGGCTCCGGCTAGCATATGCGATCACTCGTTCCTTGCCGTGTTGTTCCTGCGCCAATACCGCCCCTAGGCCATCTAGACTAGCATCTGTGAAGAGTCGAAAAGGCAAAGAAAAATCTGCATATGCCAACACAGGAGCACTCAGCAAGGAACTTTTTAGCCGTTCGAAGGCGCATTCACATTCACTTGACCAGCTAACTGGGGTCGGCCGCCGTTCGTGTGTGGTGTTGTGGGTGAGAGCGTGCAAGGGTCTAGCAATTTTGGAGAAGTTCGGGATGAAACGACGATAGTACCCGGCAAACCCAAGGAATGATTTCACCTGGCGCACATTTTGGGGGACTGGCCAATCTCGAACTGCCGCCGTTTTAGCCGGGTCTGTGGCCACGCCTTCCTCGCTAATCACATGTCCCAAATAGATCACCTGGCGTTGGAACAGGCTGCATTTCTTTGGCTGAAGCTTCAGTCCATGCTCCGACAACCTTTGGAACACTTCCTCCAGGTGTCGAACATGGCTGTTGAAATCTGCAGAGAAGACCACCACATCATCAAGGTATATCAAAAGTGAATCATTTACCATAGTCCCTAGACAGCGCTGCATCAACCGCTGAAACGTGGCCGGGGCGTTGCATAAGCCGAAGGGCATTCGCTCGAACTCATAGAGCCCGAAGGGTGTAGTGAAGGCGGTCTTCTCCCGATCTTCTGGATCCATCTCGACTTGCCAATACCCACTAGCCAAGTCCAACGTGGAATAGTACCTGGCCGCCTTCAGTCCGGTGAGGGATTCTTCTATCCGTGGCAATGGGTAAGCGTCCTTATGTGTGAGAGCATTCAGCTTACGGTAATCAACACAGAACCTCCAGCTCCCATCTTTCTTCTTGACTAATACGATGGGTGCCGCCCAAGGACTTGAACTTTCTCTCACAACGCCATTCTCCAGCATGTTCTTAAGAAGGACTTGGAGTTCGCTATAAAGGCTCGGAGGCACCGGGCGGTAACGCTCTCGGCTAGGCGGGGCAACACCTGTGGGGATCTGGTGTCTTACTATGTTGGTGCGACCGAAATCGTCCTCATGCTGGGAGAAGATGCCGCTCCATTTCCGAAGTAGATTGTTCATTTGTTGCTGCTGTTCCTCCGTAAGGCCATCCCCCTGTAAGGACAATATTGGGTGAAGATTCTCATCAGCTTCTGCAGAAATCCCCACACGCCTCACCGCTACTTCTACCACATCAGGCTCCACCTGGCTGAAAACTAGTTCCTGTTCCCCTTGAATGTCATCAGTTTCCACCTCTGTAACCCGGGCTAGGGGTACCCGTTGGGGGACCTCCACAGGATAGGGATTTGGGTTGCATACTCGACAGGGGACTCTGCCTCCACTTAAGGTGGCCAGAGTGCGCCCAATACACCACTCATTATCACTACCAGGTAGGGGTTCCACCAGCACCGTACATGGATTCCCCGGCGCATTATTAGTTACGCAGGTCCAAACCACCATCTCTGAGTGTGGTGGAATAGTGACGGCCACCTGGCGGGGCAGTTTGGCAGCTCCTTCAAACAATGAGCGAGGACCCTTGGAGGCCACCCGCTGGCATTGTGTGAATGCTTCGGTCCACATTCTCCCTTCAGCCGGAGGGATGATGGTCCGGAAGGCCGCCAGTCCAGGATGGCTTCCCTGTGTCAAAGCAGACCAGATTGGTTCAATAAAGTTCATGCCTAATATTCCCTTCTCCGGGCCCAAGCACGAATCTTCGACGATAATTATTCCTTTCCCAATTACTGGTACATTTCCCACTGTACAGTCGACCATAGCATACCCAATATACGGTATTTTGAGTCCATTTGCTGCCCGTAGATTGAGCCATGGGATCGCCTCCGCGCTTGTGAGCCCCGTCCCACCGAGGTGCTTTCTAAAGAGAGTTTGGCTCAACAGGGTAACTTGGGAACCGGTGTCAAGTACAAAAGGAATATCTACGTTATTGATCTTAATGGACACACTGGGGCACTCACCCACTAGAGCAGACCTGGGTCCTGGCTCAGATGAAGGATTGTCCTGGGAAGTCCTCAGGGTTGTGGGCTCCTGGGTCGAAATCACTGCCCCCACTGCTTGGCCCTCAGCTGTAGGGGTTGCTAAAAATCCTGCTGTCTTTGTTGCCTTTGTGGGCACCAGCGCCGAACATGTCCAGAAAGTCCACACTGTAAGCAGATGGGGCGGCCCCGTTCATCCCACTGGTAGGAGGGTTGATGCGATCTGAACTGGGCAGGCGGCATTAAAGGGGGTGGGCAGTTTTGTGGGGAGAGCTGTGCTTTAATTTCACTAACCAGGGAGGAGGACAAACTTTTTAGTTGCTCTTGTAATTCCTTTTTTATTTCACCCATCATTTCAGTCTTTAGCTCAACCTGAATCTGTTTTTTCATCTGTTCAAAGTTTGGCCTTACTGGGCTAAAGGGCGCTTGAGCAGCCACCCGATTGGCCAGGGCAGTGTCACCCTCTAGCTCCTGCTCTAGGGCACAAGCTTCCTTGCAGGCATCTTTGAATGACATGCCCTCCTGACGTCGCATCTGTCGCCCCAATTCTTGTCTAATTGCTCCCTTGTACATCCCTATCAATAATTGTTCAAGCAGTAACTCACCCCCCTCGTCAGCCCCATCCATGTCTTCCCCCTTCCACAGTTTATAATGCTCTCGAAGGCGCAGAGTAAACGCTCCTACAGACTCGTCCGCTCTTTGTTTACAATTAAAAAAAGTAACTCGCAGCTGGGCTTTAGTGGCCGGCTTACAATACAGTGTCTTTAAAAAATCAAAAATCTTTTTCGCAGTGTCCCTCTCCTCAGTACTTAACAGCAGTAGTTCTCGCTTTGCATCTCCTTCTACAGCCCCAAGTACAAAGTCTGTCCGTTGTTGTGGGCTTAGTCCTTGAGCTCTAATCATTACTTCTATTTGGTCCCTCCATTCTGAGAATTTAATAGAGTCGCCAGTAAATTTAGGGACCCAGGCTGCACCCATGAACCACGGCATTACAAAATGGGTGGAGCTTCCCGCATTTGACCCACTCTGTGTTGGATCCATTTCCTAAAAGTGGAGTGGTGGACCCTGTCAGCAACGCCAAAAATAATGTCACGATTTGGTCCTACACCACCAAAAATACTTCCACTCTTAGGAAATGATGCAACCAGATAAAAGTTGACAGTGTTTTAATGTGTTTCATTCAACGTTAAAAGCAACGTATTTTAAAAGAGTCAATGGAGTCTAAAAATAGGTCTAAGCCTGTTTCTCCAGTAAAAGTATGTACAATATATACAAGGAGCGCCTAAACTACTTTGGGGAGGGGAGTAAGGGGGATAACACGACGTCCAGAGGAAAGGGTTGAGCAGTCCAGTCTGTGAGGGCCCGTCCACAATCACGCCCCTCTAAAATGGCCTGTGGACAAGGGAGATTCTCAATGCCAGCCAGGTACGACAAAACACACAGGGCACAGGAGTAGCAGAGTAAGTGGGGAAGCGTCCCTTTTACTTATCTGGCGTGCGCAGTCTAGCCACCCCGGGCTGGTCTGGTCCGCTGCTGATCCAGGCCGAGCTGGCTCCGCGTACCAGTCTGCCCGCACTCCCAGAGCGCGCGTCTGCCTACGTCTGTCCGAGCCTCGGTCACACTGGTTGGGGGGGACAGGGGAAATCACACTTAAAAACACCACACTGCACACACACTGCAAATTCCCCAACGACAGTGAGAGGCTGCAGACGTCCCTTTACTTAGCTTGGTGCTGGCCTTTTCTCCACACTCCTGGTGGGCTCCGATAGTGCGCGCGCGCAGATTGGATGTGCGTCTCGAACCCTGGCGTCCTGTAAATCCCTGGGCCGCTCCTGCTGCACCGCGTCCGTCCGCCACAGAAGACTCGCGACCCGTCTCGTCTGTTCTGCGCTGATCCTGGTGCCGCTCCGGGCTGGTACCGGGGCTGGTACAGGGGCTGCTCCTGGGGCCGCTCCTCGAGTGTCCTGCGTGTCCCTTCTGCGTGTCCCTGCTGTCGAGTCTCGTCTCAAGCTCTGCTTCAGTTTCCGCGTACCTTGAGGGCCGGCTCTGGGCGGTTTATATAGTTCATCCTATAGATCTGCATCCAATAGTATGCCGCTATAGGTCTATTGGGGGGGGGTGTGGTTACAGTCTGCGGTGCTCCACTCGCTAAAGTCATTCTGTAGCCCCTGCAAACTACACACTGCACACAAGGTATACGGTGGCTATAGGCAAATGGTTAATGTGCATAGAGTTTTCAGCCCATACCTCGCCATTTGACACAAACACTTAATGATTAATATAAGAACACTTTATGAAAACACTTGATGATTAATCATTCGAATAAAAACATTTTATGGAGACATTTCATGATTAAATATAGAATTCCATATTTTTGTAGATTACCGCCATTGCCAAACTACAACCAGCAAATTCGGCGCAAACTCTTGACGTCACCAACACCTACCAACAACACCCGCCTCCCCCGCTCGCTGATTGGTCAGATGGGATTCGATCGAAGTGACCGCGGCCACTTAGATCAGACGCAGACGTGCATGTAGGGCAATCATAAATGACTGGAGTTTACGGATGGCTAAGGCCAGGCTACAAGTCACTTATCTTTGACCCAATATTATTTTATTATTGTCACAAGGTGGACCAAGTGTGCGTGCGTGATGGGCGTGAGTGCAATTAGGTAGAAAGCACAGGTGTGAGTGTGATGTGGGTCGAGGTGTCCGGAGCAGGAGTGAGCAGACGGGGCAGAGCGAGCAGCGATCAGGCCAGAGCAAACAGCGCGCACGAGACATCGCGCACGGAGCCTGGCGGAGTGGACCAGAGGAGGAGACACCGGTGACAGGAGGCGTCGTGGGGAACTGGAGGGGGAGAGTACGGCGACCCCCCTCCTCGCAGCTAAGTGGCTTTCCTGTTCGTTGGCGGTGGTTGTGGGAATAAGGCTGTGGCTATTTTAGTTCTTTGGAGTGCTGTGTTCTTTTTGTGTGAGCCGGGCTTGTAGCCCCTACCACCACCAGCCCAAGCCTCCCCCCTGTCACTGGCCTAGTGTGTTGACGGACCTCCCTCTCTACACAGGCAGCCCCGCTGCTGTGGATCGTTTTGTGCCCTGAGACCCGTGCGCACTGGCGGACTGGAGCGGCGCACCCGAGCAGACCAGGAGCGGCGCGCGCACCGGCTTTTGAGGGGCGCACCACGACCTTCACGACTCTTTTAAATAGCATTTTTAAATTGGGACCCAGTCTTTTATATAATAGTATTAATAATTCATTTTAATTGTTCCTAAATAAAATCGTTATTCCTTTCAATTGTGTTGAATGTCAATTAATAGAGTGCTCCCCATTGGACAGTAATAGGGTTGTACGGGGCCCTCCACCCCCGTGACAAGTGGCGTTGCATTACAGGATTGTCCAATTGGGTTGAGCCTCTATTAATTAGGCATGTCAACCGAGGAATTGCACGCAGGTGCGCAGCCAATGATGAGGATGCCATTTTTAATGGGAGGACCTTGGGTGTCTAAATTTAACGGGGTTGGATCGGAGATTAGGGTTGGAGAATGGCGATCCCAATTAGAGACTATGCTCACGTTTCAACAAGTAAGGGACGCACACAAAGCAGACTTTGTAATAGGGTTTTTAGACGGAGAAGCAAAACGTGAAATTTTGGCTTTGGATCGTGGAGATCGAAACACCCCAAAGAAAATATTTGATGCACTGTCTGAACTGTACGGGGACAACACCCATGTCTCCGCTTTAAGAACACAATTCTTTAATTGCAGACAGGAGCCTAATCAGACTTTGAGGTCTTTTTCTCTACACTTGCGTGAACTGTTTTCCAGGCTTAAACAAAAAGACACCATGGGCTTGGGGCAAGGAGACCTGGTGTTGCAAGACCAGTTCATCCTGGGCCTTAAAGAAGGACCAGTACGACAAGAGCTTCGTCGGCAGGTACGAAAAGCCCCCCAGCTCACCTTTGATGAGGTAAAGATGGAAGCTTTAGCATTGGAGGATGAACAAGGACAGCAATGGCCTGCTTTCGAGTGTACAGCGGTGAGTAAAACCACACCCGTGAGCTCACACGGTACTGATTGGAAACAAGAGCTGCGTGCTGAGATCCTGAAGGATGTAAAGGAGCATATGTCTGAAATGACGAGGACTATTTTAGACCAGTTAAAGGGTGCAGCAGGACCTCAACCTAATTCTCCAACTTCTGGGTCCCCCCGATACAGGGACCGAAGCCCAAGACCAAGGTCCCCATATAGCCATGGCAGATTCAGGTGGGACCCCCAGGGCCATCCCATTTGCAACTTATGTGAACAAATTGGTCATATCAGTCGTAGGTGCCCCTCCAAACCAGCTGGGCAGGATTTATAGGCTCCCCGGCCACTGCGGGTCAAGTGTCCGGACCTCTTCCAAGTGACCCAGCTTATAATGGTTCAAGAGTTAAACTCACTGGAGACTGCCCTCTAGTGGATGTGAGAGTAGATGGGATAAACGTGAAGTGTCTGCTTGATACAGGGTCTCAAGTAACATTGTTCAGTGAGAGTGTATGCAACGAGCTCTTTAGGAGCAAACAAGTTCGTAATAGTGATGAAATTCCCTGGCTCACTCTGAGGGCAGCGAACGGACTTAACCTCCCGTGGGTAGGGTACATGGTGGCCGACTTTGAAATCCATGGGGTCCGGGTACCTGCACGTGGCATTGTAGTGGCTAAGGACGAGTGTATTGGAGCAGACAAAGCCATCCTAGGGATGAACGTGATTACTGACTGTTGGGAAGAACTTTTCACGCAGTACAAGGCCTCCCCCAAACACTCGACGCCACCACTGAGCAGGGAATGGAACACTGTTTTTATCGACTGTCAACGCATCCGTGCTGCCTCTAATGCAGAGCCATGGCAAGCTACAGCGAGATTAGCCAGTCGTACTCCTGTAACCATACCCGCACAAAGTGAAATGACTGTTTGGGCCAAAATCCCACGGCCCTCTTCCAACCAGCCAGGCTGTGCGCTGGTAGAACCCCTTGGGGAAGATGGAGGAGTTGGGGTGGCCAGAGCATTAGTGACTGTGAGAAAGGCGCGCATTCCAGTGGGGGTTAGGAATGTCCATCCGTATGCTCTAACGCTCAGCAGGTTCCAGAGGCTGGCGACTGTCTCGGCCGTCGACCCTGACGCGGTGCGGGATGGGAAGGAGCTCTCCATTCTGAATGTGGGTCCTGGAGTCGTGGAGGTTAATCTGGTCGACACTGCTGATCCGGACAAACCAGAGGTGAATGAGACAACTAATGCCCTTCCCCTCTCTAAAGGAGATGGACTCACAGATGATGAGCAAAGACAATTGAATGAACTACTGCGAAGATGGAGTCATGTGTTCTCGACACACGAGGAAGACTATGGACGAACGGGGGCTGTGAAACACCGGATTCCCACAGGTGACTCTAACCCCATTCGTGAGCGGTACAGGCCAGTACCCCCTACCCTCTATAAGGAAATCCGTAGCCTCCTTAAAGAAATGCTAGACGGGGGAATAATCAGAGAGAGTTGTAGCCCGTGGGCGGCCCCAATTGTTCTGGTTCAGAAGAAAAATGGTTCTTGGCGTTTTTGCGTTGATTACCGCAAAATTAACAGTGTCACGCATAAAGATGCCTACCCCCTGCCCAGAATAGAAGATTCACTAACTAGCCTGACTAAAGCAGAGTGGTATTCCACGTTGGATTTAGCCAGCGGTTATTGGCAGGTGGAGGTAGAGGAGAAAGACAGGGAAAAAACCGCATTCACAACCCCATTTGGTTTGTTCGAGTTTGAGAGGATGCCATTTGGGTTGTGCAATGCCCCTGCAACCTTTCAAAGATTGATGCAAAGGTGTTTGGGAGATCGGCTAGCGGAGTCTGCTATGGTTTATCTGGATGATGTGATTCTATTTTCCAGAGACTTCCCAGAGCATCTCCAACACCTGGAGGCAGTATTCCGCTCCCTGGGGCAGTATGGCCTTAAGCTCCGCCCAGAGAAGTGCCAGCTTTTCCAGAGGCAGGTCAAGTTTCTAGGACATGTCGTCAGTAGCCAGGGAGTTTCGGCAGATCCAGACAAGGTAGCAGCCGTATCTAATTGGCAACCCCCTACCACGATACGGCAAGTGCGCTCATTTCTAGGATTTGTAGGGTACTATAGGCGGTTTGTAAGGGACTTTTCCAAAATTGCCAAACCCCTAAATGCACTTTTAGTTGGCACGGGCCGTAATAGAGGCAGACGTTCCCCCTCTATTGAGTGGTCCGACCAATGCGACGCTGCCTTCCAGCAGTTAAAGCAGGAATTGCTACAGGCCCCCATTTTAGCGTATGCGGATTACACACTCCCATTTGTGTTATACACAGATGCTAGTAATGCAGGGCTTGGAGCTGTATTGGCCCAGGTACAAGATGGGGTCGAAAGGGTTATAGCATATGCGAGTAGGAGTTTACATCCCGCTGAGCGCAACGACTCAAACTATAGCTCTTTTAAACTTGAGCTTTTGGCGATGAAATGGGCTATAGTTGAGAAGTTCAAGGACTATTTGTGGGGGGCTAAGTTTGCTGTGGTGACAGACAACAATCCACTAGTGCACCTGCAGACTGCTAAACTAGGGGCTGTCGAACAAAGGTGGGCTGCACAGTTGGCAAATTTCGATTACACCATCAGATACCGGCCAGGCAGGGAGAACACTAATGCTGACGTCCTTTCTAGACTGCCTGCTCCCCCAGACCGGGAATTGGCCGGAGAAGAGAGACTGGTTGGGGCAGTAGAGACTATGTCTATGGACTCTCCGCCCAATAGCTGGAGGTGGGACCCAGAGCGCTGGAGAAGTCTACAAAATGAAGACCCCGACTTACAAAGCATAAAAGAGCACGTTGAAAGAGGTACCCTACTGTGCGCTAACGAGAGACAATTGTTAACCCAATCTGCCAAGATCTTGTTGAGGCACTGGAGGAGGCTAGAGTTAAGAGACGGGATTCTATGTCGGATTGTCCAAGACCCCCAGACTCTAGAGACTCTTGCCCAGATTGTTGTCCCCACATCGCAGGCGAGGCCCCTATGGACTGTATATCATGAACAGATGGGGCATCCAGGATTGGAGAAGTCATTGACTCTTTTAGGAAGGAAGTTTTATTGGCCACAAATGGAGGACATGGTCAAAACCTGGCTATCTGCTTGCCCACGATGCATGCTGCACAAACCCGGACCCCAAGGTAAGGCCCCTTTAGTGCCACTTGTAGCGAGAGCCCCCATGCACATTGTTGCTGTTGATTTCTTGACCTTAAGTCGCCCTACAGATAGGTACCAAAATATATTAGTCATGACCGATTTGTTCACAAAGTTTGCATGGGCGGTCCCAACCCTGGATCAAACTGCCTTGACTACAGCACGGGCCTTGTGGACTTACTTGATCCAGCCATTTGGCTGCCCTGAGGTGTTACACTCGGACCAAGGGCCAAATTTTGAGTCTCGGTTAATCCAAGAACTCTGTCAGATCTACGGGTGCATTAAGAGTAGAACGACACCCTATCACCCAATGGGGAACGGAGCCTGTGAAAGGCTAAACCAAACTCTATTGAACCTGTTGGGCACGCTTGAAGTAGAGAAACACCAGCGATGGGTGGAGTACTTACCTGGACTAATTCAAGCATATAACAACACTGTTCATGCTTCTACAGGATACGCACCAGCATTCTTGATGTTTGGCCGCCACATGAGGACCCCAGTTGACCTATTGACCGGGGGTTTTAGCACCAAAGCCCCTATGGACGCTACAGACTGGGTTACTAGGCACCAACAGCAACTGACATATGCTTACGAGAAGACATCAAGGAGCCTTCACAATGCAGATAAAAAAAATAAAAGACTGTATGATCGCACTGCAAAGGAGGCCCCGCTTTTACCGGGAGAGCGCGTGCTAGTGCGTGACCACAGGAGGCGACAGACTGGGAAGCTGGGTGACCACTGGCAGACCAGACCCCATGTTGTTGTAACCAGGCTCCACCCCGAACGCCCAAATTATAGTGTGCGTCCTGAAGGAAGAGATGGCCCTGAACGAGTCATCCATCGCAACAACTTGAGACCATGCCCTAACTACATACAACCAGAGGCGGAACATGGAGGTGACTATAATCGTGGCGCCTCATTGCCACACTGGGGATTTATGGTGCCCCTGGTGTGGGGTGTGCAAGAAGACCCAGAGCCCCCACCAGAACCAAGGAGGTCCCAGAGGCCCAACATGGGGGTGCGGCCTCCAAGATTTAGGGACTAGACCTCTTGTTCCCTGTGTCCGCATGAGTGATGTTCCAGGGACTAGAACATATTAGTGGGGGAGGATGTCACAAGGTGGACCAAGGGAGCGTGATGGGCGTGCGTGCGTGATGGGCGTGCGTGTGTGAGGGGCGTGAGTGCGTGTGTGAGGGGCGTGAGTGTGTGCGTGTGTGAGGGGCGTGAGTGCAATTAGGTAGAAAGCACAGGTGTGAGTGTGATGTGGGTCGAGGTGTCCGGAGCAGGAGTGAGCAGACGGGGCAGAGCGAGCAGCGATCGGGACAGAGCCACCAGCGCGCACGAGACATCGCGCACGGAGCCTGGCGGAGTGGACCATGAGGAGGAGACACCGGTGACAGGAGGCGTCGTGGGGAACTGGAGAGGGAGAGTACGGCGACCCCCCTCCTCGCAGCTAAGTGGCTTTCCTGTTCGTTGGCGGTGGTTGTGGGAATAAGGCTGTGGCTATTTTAGTTCTTTGGAGTGCTGTGTTCTTTTTGTGTGAGCCGGGCTTGTAGCCCCTACCACCACCAGCCCAAGCCTCCCCCCTGTCACTGGCCTAGTGTGTTGACGGCCCTCCCTCTCTACACAGGCAGCCCCGCTGCTGTGGATCGTTTTGTGCCCTGAGACCCGTGCGCACTGGCGGACTGGAGCGGCGCACCCGAGCAGACCAGGAGCGGCGCGCGCACCGGCTTTTGAGGGGCGCACCACGACCTTCACGACTCTTTTAAATAGCATTTTTAAATTGGGACCCAGTCTTTTATATAATAGTATTAATAATTCATTTTAATTGTTCCTAAATAAAATTGTTATTCCTTTCAATTGTGTTGAATGTCAATTAATAGAGTGCTCCCCATTGGACAGTAATAGGGTTGTACGGGGCCCTCCACCCCCGTGACATTATTATATTAGCCATGGAACGGTCTGCCCCCTCCGTCAAACAGCTCCCTCATTGGAAAGTTTTATGTCTCGTCTTAAGATGCGTTTTTACTGTCTGGCTTTTAACATCGCGTGAGTTGTGTGGTCCTCTGTGTTATTTTTTTATTTATTTAATTGTTTTTAATGTTACTTTTATTTCTAAATTATATAATTGGTATTTTCTTGTTTTAATAAAATTTTTAAGCTGGCAAACCTTTGTGTTACTTTTATCTCTGTGCAGCACTTTGGGAAACTTAACATACAATGTGCAATACAAATAATGTGGATTGGATTGATGTGTGCGTAATCTAAATGCTCTGATTTTTCCTTCTATTATGCAGTAATGTGCACAACTATGACATGGAAATTTCCCCGCTGAAGGATGAATAAAGGTTTATCTCATTCTCTGGTGTCAAATTAAAGCAAATATCAATTAAAGTATTACAACATTGAGATTGGTGCAGTTCTCCGATTATATATGAAACTCTTCAGTATGTTGTTCTGGATGACCACAGTCTCTCGGGCAGAGACAGATCAGACAGTGACAGACGAGTGAAGTAATCAGCCTGGAGACCTTTGCTGAGGTTGCAAACGTTATTAATCAGACCGTCTCTCCTCTGTCACTCAGCAGATTTGCTTTAGATCATTAGTGTGATTCAGTAAATTCAATATTGTGTTTTAATCTTCATGAATCATGGTGCGTTTGGAGCTGTGTCTTCAGTGGAGTTCCAGAGGAGTGGAGGCCACCTGTGGATGACGACAGGGTCAGAGAGACAGGGTCAGAATGACAGGGTCAGGGAGACTGGGTCAGAGAGACTGGGTCAGAATGACAGGGTCAGAGGGACTGGGTCAGGGAGACTGGGTCAGAGAGACTGGGTCAGAGAGACTGGGTCAGAGAGACAGGGTCAGAGAGACAGGGTCAGGGAGACTGGGTCAGAGGGACAGGGTCAGAGAGACAGGGTCAGAGAGACAGGGTCAGAGAGACTGGGTCAGAGAGACAGGGTCAGAGGGACAGGGTCAGAGAGACTGGGTCAGAGAGACAGGGTCAGAGAGACAGGGTCAGAGAGACAGGGTCAGGGAGACTGGGTCAGAGAGACAGGGTCAGAGGGACAGGGTCAGAGAGACTGGGTCAGAGAGACTGGGTCAGAGAGACAGGGTCAAAACCTGGTAAAATACCAACTGACTGCTCTTCGTACGGGCATTTTAGTCTCATGGGAGTCGACGTTTCAAGTTTCAAATTAAAAAAAGTAATTTAGACGGTCATTTTTGGTTTACTGCATTATTTTTTTAATTGGATCCACAGAAAACAAAAAACAAATCAATATTTAAATCTTGCCTTAAATTCAAAGATCAAGAAAACATCCCTCGTTATTCGTTTTTTAAATGTTGGTTTTATTTAGAAAATCAAAATAAACGGATGATACACGGATTATCTTGTTTTGGCTTCTGTTATGAATCGTTAATGCAAATTAAAGAGTATTTGAAATATTCAAAGATTCTTTGAAGCTTTGAGCTACTTGGAAAGCGGTGGTGAGCTACTGGTAGCTCCCGAGCCACAGGTTGGAGACACCTGCTCTACACCCTGTTTGTTTGTGTAGTGGGAGTAGATCCCTCTCTCAATATGTGCCTACCCAAGGTTTCTCAATTTTTCCCACTGGGTTTTTTCTTAGTTGCTCCTTAACCGATGCGGGAGGATCTAAGGACATTTAATTAAGGACATTTATGGTCAGTGGTCATCCTGTTCCCTATGGACCAATGGCTCCTATGTTTTTGTTATTACATTTCCTGTGTTTGAATTATTTATTTATCTGATCTGTTGTTGATGAATCTACAACTTTGTTGTGATTTAGAGATGTAGACAAATTAATTGTACTAAAGCTCATACAGCTTAATTACAGTCTCTGTGAGCCAATGCATAGGCCCCTTATCTCTGTTGATGGTCCTTACGCCCCACTTCCTGATTTCAATCGACTCTCATATCCATTTTTTGTATTTATGTTCTTCCTATAATATTTTTACTGAAAATGTAAAAAAAAGAAATAAAAAACAAGGATTACAAAGACCACTAAACAGTGAGACAAGTGGAGCCAGACTGAGTTAGATGAAAACTTGAACATGCAGCAGTCATAAACAAGATGGAAGCGTGATTTTTATCCAACATAACTTTAATTTGCTGCTCCTACAGTACTTCCTAACATCTATATAAAAATATCTGCTTGTGCAATTCTACAAAATAAAATGACTTTTACACAGTTGAAAACCAAAAATAACATCTTCAGAACTCACAGCAACTTGTACCACGAAGAAAATATGTGGAAAAAAGTCTCTATTTTAGTGCTCTGTGTTCTGCTGTTGACCTGGGATCTTCTGTTCTGGTCTGAGCGCCCGCGAGTCCTCAAATGAAATGCCTTTTGTGATCGTCAGTCACGGAATCTTCGTTCAAAAACAACGACGAATGTACAAAGTGAAGGACACATAACAGTCGAGCGTGAAATCGTACACACCCAGGTAGAAATCTGTAAACGAATGTGTTAGTAGAGCTTGGTTTCCGCCAGCCCGACTTGGCCCAACCCGGTTATGTCTCCATTTAGCCCTAGCATCTGGTACTTTATCCATAGCAACCTACCCACAACAAACTAGTTATGGAGGGAAATGACTTGGTCTCCCAGTTAGAACACTCTAGCACCTCGGCCTGAATAGAACCAGGACCAAGAAAATACTAAAAAGTACCAGTCTCTACCTAGAAACTCTCCCAATTGGGGTAGAGTAGTGTAGGGCCAAGTAGGGCTGGTGGAAACGGGGCTAAGTTAAAATGATAACCAGGTAAGACACTCCTCTTTTGAATCTGATCGTAAGTCTCCATCCCCCTGTTTTCAATAGTGCGATATCTGACTCTGAAATACTAACCACTAACCGCTTGAATACAGGCTCAAAAAGTTTCTGTTTTTTGGTCCTTATTTCCGAAATTTGGACAAATTATGGATAACATTCAAAATAAAAACTCAATCATAAAAAAATTCAATGTTTTATGAGAGTTTTACATTTTTCCGGGTCACACGATTTGTCCGTCGATGAAACGCGGTCTGATTTTGATAGACAAAAATTTATACGTTTTTATAGGTTTTCATGTGCTCTATACGACAGTGTTTTTCAACCAGTGTGCCATGGCATGTTAGTGGGCCTTGAGATGTTATTTGGTGTGCCTTGAGAAATGATCAAATATCACCTACTTAGTCAAAAAAATGTGAATAAAAAAATAAATAGAAGTTTATAAATACTTCTTTGCACTTCCTTGATGTTCTAAATTATGCACTTTGATAAGAATGACTTTTTTTTGTTAATAAAGGCTGCCGAGTTAGATGTTTGTTGCAGTTTCAGCTGGTAGTGTGCCATGCTTTAAATGAAAAAGGTGTACCACGACTCAAAAAGGTGGGGATCCCTGCTCTACGTGACTCGCGATATCCACCATGTGTTGCGCATAAGAAAGGCAACACAGCGCCCCCTGGTGTGTGGTGCCCGTAATGCAGACGTTACTCTCACATCAACAACGTACAGTACAAATAATTCCTTAGTCACAAACTAAAACACTTCCTGGTCCACGGTTACAGGTCAATGCAAACATTCATGTGACACATAAATATGTTTCAATATTAAAGCTGGGGTACGTAACTTTCAGAACACAACAACAGAACTCTAGTTCCTGGATCTAAAACAGTTGCTTCTATCACTAGTTTTAACATATATTAATGGTCTTTTTCAGACAGAAAAGGGTAAAAGAGAGGACCACCCTCACTCAGCCAATCAGCTCTCAGCCCAAAGAGTCAAATAACGACTCACAGAGCTCTTTCTTACACAAAAGATAGCATGTTTTCTAATGAGATGAAAACATTTACCTTTCTATTGGACTAACCTCTTTTTATTTATGAGACTGAACTTACGTAACCCAGATTTAAAGTTATAAGAATCTCTGAACAACATTTTCCGACACACATCAAAAAGGCGGCTGGCGTTTGGAGCGTTCATTCCCACGCTCAGGGTTAAGTCTGTGGGAGGTTGTAGCTGGATTCCTCTATGTTGAGTCCATGGGAGGTTGCGATTCCCCCAGCAGCCAGTAGGTGGTCATCTTGCCTTTGCCCTTGATGTCTATGGTTCCCCTGAGCTCCAGCTGGAAACTGTTGAAGCCCAAGAGGACCTCACGAGTCGCGGCCGAGACGTGGATCTTCAGAGCTGCAGGGACCGGAGGAGAAAGACCTGGTTTAGTCCTGCTTTAGATCTAGAGTTTCTTTACTCAAAAACCTCCTTTAGACCTGCTTTAGACTCTACTTTTACCTGTTTTAGACCTGCTTCAATCCTAGACTTGCTTTAGACCTGTTTAGTTATGCTTTAGTCCTGCTGCAGAGTCCAGAGAAGAGAGACCTGGGATAGTCCTGCTTTAGACCACAGCTGCTTTAGTCCTGCTTTACTCATGTACCTGCTTGAAACCTGCTTTAGTCCTGTTTTAGACTGGCTTTAGTCAAGCTATAATCCTGCTAATACTGTTGGAGTCCTGCTTTGGTCTTTTTAGTCTGGTTCATGTCTGACCTTCTCCTGTGGACTCCATCCTGGATGAGGTGTTGACTGTGTCTCCAAACAGACAGTAACGAGGCATCTTCAGTCCCACCACACCGGCACACACCGGGCCTGGACCAGGACCAAGACCAAGACCAGGAAAAAGGACAAGAACAAGACAGAACAAGTACCAGGAGTTAGATCAAATAAGACTGATGATTTATCACAATACGTCACTGTGTCAATATATTGTTGATAAAAATGTGCTATTGTGACAAGCAGAGATCCCAGAGATTTAAAGTCACAAAGTAATCATAGTTAAGGAGAAATATTGTATCTATTTGTTCTTTTCTTTTCTTATTTCTCTATGTTCCAACAGTATTTCTCATCAAATTATAAGGTATTGGCTTTAGCCCAATTTCAAGTTGAAATGTCGGCGTCTAAAGCTGCACAGGATGCTCCCCTCAATGACGAACAGTATAAGTCAGAATAAGTCTTCAAAAGTTATGGTGCGAGTACTCAGGACCAGAGCGAGACCAGAGAGAGGCCAGAGAGAGAGATGAATGAGACCATAGAGAAAGAATCCAGAGAGAGATACCAGCAAGAGACCAGAGACCAAAGAAAGGCACCAGAGAGAGATCAGAGTAACACATAATTAGCCTCATACTCTGATCTTCTGCTCAAAGTTCTAAACTCGTGACAGTGGTTTTGGTTTCATCGTCACCATGAAATGTCAGCGTTTAAAGCTGTGAGGGTCTTTTTCTTCACAGATACAACAGTCCTGAAATCTTAACATTTGTCCACTGCAATTGCTCATAAGACGAAGTGACAAGATTTTAGTGAGACGCCTTCAAATGTGAGTGATTCTATCCATGCCAAATGTGACTTGTAAATTTCTCCTGTTTGAGATCAATAAAGTCTATCTTATCCTATCTGAAACCGGTATGGCTTCTGTCAGTGTGCCCCAGGGCAGCTGTGGCTACACTAGTAGTTAGGACCACCGTGAATGTAGTGAAAGAGCAATGATTGAAGCGTCTTTGAATGTCCAGCAAAACCCAAGGATTATTCTCATTATTTTTGTTATTATTATTATGTAAACACAAGCAAACAAAGGGTGAAGTTGTGAAGTTATTGTGAAATATTTGTGAATGACGTGTTACCGCTGTGGATGCCGATGCGGAGTTTCAGCTGCAGCTCCGGTCGGTGCCGCAGCCTGAACGTGCGCACCGCGTCGAGCAGCGCCAGAGCCATGCGCGCCACTTCTCTGCCGTGGAGTTTCCCGTTACGCACGGGCAAACCAGACACCACCATGTACGCATCACCGATCGTCTCCACCTGAGGGCGCCACAACACTCAGTCACCACTGCATATGCACCAACAAGACGTCTCCTCCAAAATATTTGAGGCTTTTTCTCTTTTAATATTTTTCACCCTTTCATTATTTTGTTATTTTTCTATCGCTTTATATCGATGTTCAAACAAATAAAAGTCTATATGTATGTATATATTTCATGATTATATAGTGGTTATATTGTGGTTCCCTCTGGTCTCAATCCCAGGTCTCCCTTTCTGGGGTTTCTCTGGTCTCTCTCGCTAGTCGCTCTCTGGTCTCTCTCTCTGGTCTCTCCCTGGTCTATCTCTGGTCTCTCTCTAGTCACTCTCTGGTCTCTCTCTGGTCTCTCCCTGGTCTATCTCTGGTCTCTCTCCAGTCACTCTCTGGTCTCTCTCTCGGGTCACTCTCTAGTCTATCTCTGGTCCCTCTCTGGTCTCTCTCTGGTCTCTCTCTCTCTCTCTCTAGTCTCTCTCTCTAGTCTCTCTCTCAGGTCTCTCTCTCAGGTCTCTCTCTAGTCGCTCTCTGGTCTCTCTCTCTGGTCTCTCCCTGGTCTATCTCTGGTCTCTCTCTAGTCACTCTCTGGTCTCTCTCTCTCTCTCTCTAGTCTCTCTCTCAGGTCTCTGGTCTCTCTCTCTGGTCTCTCCCTGGTCTATCTCTGGTCTCTCTCTTGTCACTCTCTGGTCTCTCTCTCTCTAGTCTCTCTCTCAGGTCTCTCTCTGGTCTCTCTCTGGTCTCTCTCGGGTCTCTCTCGGGTCTCTCTCGGGTCTCTCTCTAGTCTCTCTCTCTCTCTCAGGTTTCTCTCTGGTCTCTCTCTCTCTCGGGTCTCTCTCTGGCCTCTCTCTTGTCTCTCTCGGGTCTCTCTCTCGGGTCTCTCTCTGGCCTCTCTCTCGTCTCTCTCGGGTCTCTCTCTGGCCTCTCTCTTGTCTCTCTCTGGTCTCTCTCGGGTCTCTCTCTCGGGTCTCTCTCTGGCCTCTCTCTCGTCTCTCCCTGGTCTATCTCTGGTCTCTCTCTAGTCACTCTCTGGTCTCTCTCTCTCTCTCTCTAGTCTCTCTCTCAGGTCTCTGGTCTCTCTCTCTGGTCTCTCCCTGGTCTATCTCTGGTCTCTCTCTTGTCACTCTCTGGTCTCTCTCTCTCTCTCTCTAGTCTCTCTCTCAGGTCTCTCTCTGGTCTCTCTCTGGTCTCTCTCGGGTCTCTCTCGGGTCTCTCTCGGGTCTCTCTCTAGTCTCTCTCTCTCTCTCAGGTTTCTCTCTGGTCTCTCTCTCTCTCGGGTCTCTCTCTGGCCTCTCTCTTGTCTCTCTCGGGTCTCTCTCTCGGGTCTCTCTCTGGCCTCTCTCTCGTCTCTCTCGGGTCTCTCTCTGGCCTCTCTCTTGTCTCTCTCTGGTCTCTCTCGGGTCTCTCTCTCGGGTCTCTCTCTGGCCTCTCTCTCGTCTCTCTCGGGTCTCTCTCTCGGGTCTCTCTGGTCTCTCTCTGGTCTCTCTCTAGTCTCTCTCTCTCTCGGGTCTCTCTCTGGCCTCTCTCTTGTCTCTCTCGGGTCTCTCTCTGGCCTCTCTTTTGTCTCTCTCGGGTCTCTCTCTAGTCTCTCTCTCTTTCGGGTCTCTCTCTGGTCTCTCTTGTCTCTCTCTTGTCTCTCTCTCTCTCTCTCGGGTCTCTCTCTCTTTGGTATATCTCCCTAATCTCTCGTTCTGATCATGATTTGTTATTGCTGGGTTTTTGTCTGTTTTTTGCGCCATCTTCTTCTTTCTGTCTCCACATGAGGGCGCCACAACACCCTTGTTTGCTATTTTTATTTATTTAATTAATTCTTTCAGTTAGATTTTGTTGATCTTTTCATCATTTGAACAAATATTTGTATCCATTCATAGTCATTTTCATATTTATATAATTTAAATCGAAATTTTCCTTGTATTATTTTCTTAAATCATTATTGGTGATGACTTAATCAGCTTTCATCAGTTTTTTTTGCTTATATCTGATTTTTTATTTATTTTCTCATCGTCTTATTCATTTTTTCAAAAATTAACAAACTATTGATCTATTTTTTCAACACAATTAATTTCCATCTTGCCCCCACTGAAAGATCAAGGCTATGCTCACATTCAGAGAGCAGCCGTCCTCCTGTGGACTCACCACCTGCAGAGGGTCAGTGAGGGGCTGGTGCTGTGAGACTTGGGTGGCATCTCTGACTGCCACCCCCCTGACCCAGAAATGGATTAAAGGGTAGAAAATGGATGGATGGATGGATGGATAATTTCCATCTATTTAAAGCAATTTCTACTTTTCTTTTTCCCTAATTATTATGTTGAGTAAGATGATCAAATTACTAATATCAATAAATCAGTTTTAATGTCTTGATAAATTATTTCTTATCTGATTACGGGATTTTTTTATTATTTTTTTTAAGCTGTTTTTTAAAGAACTTTATATTTATATTGCTTCACCACCAACAGTCACAAACACAGACTTTAAACAGTTTTTTCACCTTGTAAACGTCAAAGTTGTCGATAATGGCATCAAAGCATGTGTAGAGGTCGTTCAGCAGAGTCACCACCTGCAGCACAAAGTACTTCAGATACTACAGGAAAAGTACTACTACAAGCTCAACTGTACTCAAACATGGCACTCTCTAATACAGGGGTCACCAAAACTTTTTTTAATCCAAGGGCCACTTTATATTGTTTCTGCTAATGACAAATAGATTGAATATTATTTATCGCGGGGTTACCTCCAGAGGGGTGCTCTCTGCGGAGATAGAGGTGAAGCCCACGATGTCGCTGAAGTAGATGGTCACAGAGTCGAAGGCTTCGGCCTGGACGGTCTCTCCACGTTTGAGCTGCTCCGCCACCGAACTGCAGACAAAGAAGAAAGCAACACAAGGCAACTTATTTGTATAGCACAGTTCATACACAAGGCAACTCAAAGTGCTGAACAATCACACAAGGCATTGTTGTAGAATTATAATGTTGTATACTAATGATTTCCAGTAGGTGTTTGTATAACATGTCTTTGTGCAATATTAAAGCCTGGATGTAATGGAATTCAGACAAGCACCAAGGACAAGGCTTCTGTGATAAAAGTATCATTTTCAGGAACAGCGTGTCTCTAGCGGCCTGAGACACAAAACTGGACTGGGCCAGACTGGGACCAGCCTCAGACCATGTGACGTCATCGGACATTCTGATAAAACCGTTGGGAGGACACATTGGGGGGAGTTGGAGCACAGGGATAGATTTAGGGAGTAGCTCCAGGAGTTCTGTATCAACATTTAATTGTAAAGAGAAATAAATGTACTATTGGAACTCTTGAAATCTTGGCCTTATTTCTGTACCAAATTCTGAACACGTCGGTCAAATCATTTTTGACAACAGCATTCACATCATAAATAGTCACAGTGCAGTCAAGAGAGTGAAGATGAAATCCCTCAGTTGTATGCGCAGCAGAACAGAACTGTTTTAACCTGGATTGGAACATTGTTAGAAAAGAGGCCTGTCTCACATTTTCAGGAAGAGGAAGAGTGTTGGGTGCTCTCTGTTTTGGATGTCCTGTTATCACCTCTGACCTGTGGGTGTTTTGGTCTATTGTGGTGTCTACAAATGTACGTTGCGTCCGTGTAAAGCACCCCGTCCCCAGACAAATTTGTCCAATAGGAGACAATAAAAAAGTATCTTATTTTATCTAATCTTAGGCTATATCCACACGAAGACAAAACGCTTATAATTTCAGAAACTTTTTCTGTAAACACGGAGTTAGCTCAGTAAATGTGTGCGTCCATATGAATGTAGTCAATACGCCTGAAAACGCTGTGAAACTATGCCAGACCTGTTGGTGGCGCTGTGACGCAATGACGGGATCAAGCCCAAACTTCCGTGACGGGAACTGGGCATGCGCGGAATTTTGTAAACAGACAACATGGCGAGTGGGCGAGCTGGTACTACATTAGTATGGACGGACGATGAGGTTGAACTGTTGCTTCGGGTCACACTGGATTACAAAACCAACAAGCTACATTGTTGTTGTCATTATTTTCTGAGTGCGGCGCATGCTTTAACAAGAGGCGGGGCGATGACGCAAGCGTCTCAGATACATTGCGGAGAGGCAGTAACCACGGAGCGGCATATACGGAGTTTTGAAATCTTTCCACTCTGGGACCTACTTTCAAAAATGTTCGTTTACACCCCCCCAAAACGCCGGCCTCGTATGGACGATACACTGGATTGATAAAGTATTTTTGCGTTTAGGCCTGAGCTTGACTTTGTGTGGACAGGGCCTTAGAAGAAGACTGTAGCTAAAGACCTACAGTACACACAGAACAACTTTCCAAAGAATACAGAGGTCCCTGGCTTTACTGTGGCTGACCTTTGCTGCCTCGCTGCTTCACAGATTTCTTTGTTCCTCATGCGCCATGTGTATTCTCCAACAACATTATACGTTTATTTAAAGTGAGAAGAAACATAGAAACTAGAGAGGGAGGGGACCAGCGAGAGAGACCAGCGAGAGACAAGAGAGAGACTAAGGAGAGAGACCAAAGAGAAAAACCTGGGAGAGAGTCCAGAAAGAGAGACCAGAGACAGAGACCTGAGAGAGAGAGACCAGCGAGAGAGCAGAGAGAGACCAGAGAGAGATCAGAGAGAGAGCAGAGAGAGAGCAGAGAGAGACAAGAGAGAGAGCAGAGAGAGAGCAGAGAGAGAGCAGAGAGAGACAAGAGAGAGAGCAGAGAGAGACCAGAGAGAGAGCAGAGAGAGAGCAGAGAGAGACCAGAGAGAGACAAGAGAGAGAGACCAGAGAGAGACCAGAGAGAGAGCAGAGAGAGAGCAGAGAGAGAGCAGAGAGAGAGCAGAGAGAGAGCAGAGAGAGACCAGAGAGAGAGCAGAGAGAGAGCAGAGAGAGAGCAGAGAGAGAGCAGAGAGAGAGCAGAGAGAGACCAGAGAGAGAGCAGAGAGAGACCAGAGAGAGACCAGAGAGAGACAAGAGAGAGAGACCAGAGAGAGACCAGAGAGAGACCAGAGAGAGACAAGAGAGAGACAAGAGAGAGACAAGAGAGAGACCAGAGAGAGACCAGAGAGAGACAAGAGAGAGACAAGAGAGAGAGCAGAGAGAGACAAGAGAGAGACCAGAGAGAGACCAGAGAGAGACCAGAGAGAGAGACTTGAAAGAGACAGCAGCAGTATCAGCAGCAGTATCAGCAGCAGTATCAGCAGCAGTATCAGCAGCAGTGACAGCAGCAGTATCAGCAGCAGTATCAGCAGCAGTAACAGCAGCTGTAACAGCAGCAGTAACAGCGCAGTATCAGCAGCAGTGACAGCAGCAGTATCAGCAGCAGTATCAGCAGCAGTATCAGCAGCAGTATCAGCAGCGGTAACAGCAGCAGTAACAGCGCAGTATCAGCAGCAGTATCAGCAGCAGTGACAGCAGCAGTGACAGCAGCAGTATCAGCAGCAGTGACAGCAGCAGTATCAGCAGCAGTATCAGCAGCAGTATCAGCAGCAGTATCAGCAGCAGTGACAGCAGCAGTGACAGCAGCAGTATCAGCAGCAGTGACAGCAGCAGTATCAGCAGCAGTATCAGCAGCAGTATCAGCAGCAGTATCAGCAGCAGTATCAGCAGCAGTGACAGCAGCAGTATCAGCAGCAGTATCAGCAGCAGTATCAGCAGCAGTATCAGCAGCAGTACCAGCAGCAGTGACAGCAACAGTATCAGCAGCAGTATCAGCAGCAGTATCAGCAGCAGTATCAGCAGCAGTATCAGCAGCAGTATCAGCAGCAGTATCAGCAGCAGTATCAGCAGCAGTGACAGCAGCAGTGACAGCAGCAGTATCAGCAGCAGTATCAGCAGCAGTGACAGCAGCAGTATCAGCAGCAGTATCAGCAGCAGTGACAGCAGCAGTATCAGCAGCAGTATCAGCAGCAGTGACAGCAGCAGTATCAGCAGCAGTATCAGCAGCAGTACCAGCAGCAGTGACAGCAGCAGTATCAGCAGCAGTATCAGCAGCAGTATCAGCAGCAGTATCAGCAGCAGTGACAGCAGCAGTGACAGCAGCAGTATCAGCAGCAGTATCAGCAGCAGTGACAGCAGCAGTATCAGCAGCAGTATCAGCAGCAGTATCAGCAGCAGTGACAGCAGCAGTATCAGCAGCAGTATCAGCAGCAGTATCAGCAGCAGTGACAGCAGCAGTGACAGCAGCAGTATCAGCAGCAGTGACAGCAGCAGTATCAGCAGCAGTATCAGCAGCAGTATCAGCAGCAGTATCAGCAGCAGTATCAGCAGCAGTGACAGCAGCAGTATCAGCAGCAGTATCAGCAGCAGTATCAGCAGCAGTATCAGCAGCAGTATCAGCAGCAGTATCAGCAGCAGTATCAGCAGCAGTATCAGCAGCAGTGACAGCAGCAGTATCAGCAGCAGTGACAGCAGCAGTGACAGCAGCAGTATCAGCAGCAGTATCAGCAGCAGTGACAGCAGCAGTATCAGCAGCAGTATCAGCAGCAGTGACAGCAGCAGTATCAGCAGCAGTATCAGCAGCAGTGACAGCAGCAGTATCAGCAGCAGTGACAGCAGCAGTATCAGCAGCAGTACCAGCAGCAGTGACAGCAGCAGTATCAGCAGCAGTATCAGCAGCAGTATCAGCAGCAGTATCAGCAGCAGTGACAGCAGCAGTGACAGCAGCAGTATCAGCAGCAGTATCAGCAGCAGTGACAGCAGCAGTATCAGCAGCAGTATCAGCAGCAGTATCAGCAGCAGTGACAGCAGCAGTATCAGCAGCAGTATCAGCAGCAGTATCAGCAGCAGTGACAGCAGCAGTGACAGCAGCAGTATCAGCAGCAGTATCAGCAGCAGTGACAGCAGCAGTATCAGCAGCAGTATCAGCAGCAGTGACAGCAGCAGTATCAGCAGCAGTATCAGCAGCAGTGACAGCAGCAGTATCAGCAGCAGTGACAGCAGCAGTATCAGCAGCAGTATCAGCAGCAGTATCAGCAGCAGTGACAGCAGCAGTATCAGCAGCAGTACTCACTGGGGCAGTATTTGGTACAGCAGGGTCTCGGCCTTCCTCTTCTCTTCATGGTACGCCTGTGTTCTCTCTTCCACCAGTTCTTCCAGGTTATTGGCGTAGAGTTCCATCCGGGACAGAAGGTTGTCCAGGATGTTCGAGCGCGACTCCCTGAAACCACATGACCAGGGTTACCATGGCGACCGAGCATTTCACTGCAAAAAAGTTCCATCTGGATTCTGGACCAGGTCTTCAGGTTTTAAATACTGTGAGCGAGACCAGAGATCGATCAGAGAGAGAGAGACCAGAGAGAGACCAGAGAGAGACCAGTGAGTGACCAGAGAGAGACCAGAGAGAGACCAGAGAGAGACAACAATGAGATAATAAGAGACCAGAAATGCAGATACAACAGATCTTAACATTACTTCTGCTGCAAGAAAGAATATTATCTCTCGGAAAAAAATGTCAAGATTTTAGTGAGTTACTACAAGCTTCTGGCCTCGAGGTGCACATGTGCGACATCACTGCATGTAAACATATACAACAGGTCCCTATTAACTATTTTTAAGTGCACAGGAACCAGGGTTACCATGGCGACTGAGCCTTTTGCCACAAAACTGGTTCAATCTGGACCAGGTTTTCAGATTTTCAGCATTGAGATCTATGCCCCTCTTATTCAGAAGTCTGCCTCGAAGAAGAATTACAGACCACTGCTCCTGAACTGTCTGACCCCTCACAGGGCTGACTCCGCCCACTCAGAGCTGACTCCGCCCACTCAGAGCTGACTCCGCCCTCACCAAGCTGACTCCGCGCATCTCAGAGATGACCACGCCCTCACCGAGCTGACTCCGCCTACTCAGAGATGACCCCTCCCTGTCATACTGACTCCACCCACTCAGAGTTGACCAGTTTATAGAGTTGAATATTTTTTATATAAGACATTCTCACAATATAAACCCCAGAACCATAGAAAGCGTTAAGTCATGGAAATTTTAGACAAAAATGGCGAGTGACACAAACGGTTAACGCGCAAGAGTTTACTTTTCAGTGTGAATGGTGCCAAAGGACTTCACCCTGAGACCTTCATAGTTCATAAGGGGTATGAATACTTTTTCTCTCACTTGTTCTGTTTGCGCAGCAGGACCCGGATGTGGCTGAAGTCCGGTCTCTCGGTGGGTTCCTCGGCCCAGCAGCGGCTCATGAGCTGACCCAGTTCTGGACTGTGGGTCTGTGGGTCCAGAGAGGGTCTTAGACAAGGCCACTCCCCCAGCACCACACGGTCCACGATCTCTGATGGACACAGGAGGAGAGTTACAAAGAGATGCTTTAAGGATCTATTCATAAACATGTCCCCCCGCCCCTTCTGCTGAAATCAGACCTAGGCAAATGTGGCTTGCGGTCTATTATGCATATTTTAATGAATGTGAATAAACACCTTCTTTTAAGCTGTACAACAATCACTGATGAAATGGTACTAAAGCAACGCACTGCTAACACAATATATAGGTAAAAGAATACTGCTAGTTTCGCATCCAAATTGATTAGTTTGTGTAAGCCCTCAGTCGTACAGGGATTAGTCAAAGCAAAGGAAGGTTTCTCACCCATCATCTGTACTTCTTAGCAAGTTTTCCCCAAACTTGCTAAGAAGTACAGATGATGGGTGAGAAACCTTCCTTTGCATCCAAATTGATTCATTAAAACATTAGAATACATTCTAATATTTAATTATAATTTATTATACAGCTCCTCACAGCAGCAGTAGAACACTCCATTGACTTGAATGTAATTCTACCGATCATTTTTTCTTCATAACAGAACTCTCAAATCAATAATGACCGCTGCCCTTTGACAATGCAATCTCTGTTTGTAATTCAGGTGTGTAAAATACTGCCATTACTCCGCAAGTACAACGAGAGAAGCTAGCGGAGCTAGCCGAGCTAGCCACGCTCAATAAACTACATATTTATCAATCAACACCATTAAATGTTAATTGGACAATACAGTATACATATACATCCTTAACACACATGCACAGACATTTTCAAAATTTCTTGTTATCGTTTTCATGACAAAATTACTAGTTTAATGTGACAAAAAGCGATCGCGAAAAACCCGGAAGTTACCATTAATATGTAGTTCCAGGGAGCTAGCTAGCTTAGCTGTTACCTGCCTAGCATGTCACGGTGAATCCTTTGGGAGATAACTATTTTATTTGCAGTTATTGAATATATTTTGAATTGTAAGGGCTGTCTAATATTTATTCGAATATATATATATATATTTAAATTTTATTTTAGAATTATATTAGAATGTTGAAGCCGAAGCCCTGGTGCTTAGCAGCGCTGTAGAGGCTAGAGGACACAGGCTGTTCGCTGCTCGTTCTGTGAGCGGAGGAGAAAGAGCGGCCCGCTCAGACTCTACTCAGCACTGTTCACTGCTTGTAATTCTTACACAGCTGAATCAATTACCTCAAGTTTTCAATTAAATTACGGATTATAATACAACTTGTATGTAGTAATAAGCATTTTTATCAACTACTTAGAAAAAAAATTGGGTATAGCTTCTTTAAATGTTTGTGACTTAATTTAAGACTCTGGAACGTTGTCAGCAAAGCAGGAAATGAAGGTTTTACAGGTGGCACTCCACAACGCCTCGTTACCAGCCGATTACAATCAGACTCATAATGAACGGCGCTCATTTCCTCCGATTCACATCAGCGTTTGGTAATCAATAAGTCTGAGGAGGGAGAGAACAGAGACCGAGAGACAGGAGAAATCACAGTGAGACCAGAGAGAGAGAACTGAAAGAGACCAGAGTGAGATTATAGAAAGATCAGACAGAGATAGACAAAGTGAGAGACACCAGAGAGACCAGAGAGAGACCAGAGGAAGACCAGGGATAGACCAGAGAGAGGCTAGAAAGACCAGAAATAGATCATAGAGATACCAGAGAAAGAGATAAGAGATTGATTAGATAGAGACTAGAAAGAGAACCGAGAGACCAGAGAGAGACCAGAGGAAGACCTGAGGAAGACCAGAGAGAGAGATCAAAGAAATATGAGATAGAGAACAGAGAGAGAACAGAGGGACTCACAATGCGATAGACTAAGGCAAGTTCCTCATCCACATGACACTTTCCAACATCATTTCTAAAGGACGACTTCATGAAGGAAAGAGCAGCGCGTGCAACAACCTAATCTCTGACGATGAGAGCTTATTTCACCCAAACACAGCTCCACGGTTTGTCACACTGTCATTCGTAAGGTGTTGTCCTTTATGTGACATGTGTGTAGTTTTAAAACCTCCTTCCTCTGACCCACATGAAAGCAGCTGCCTAAAATACACTTTGGGTTTATCACACACACAGACCTTTGGGGCTCAGTGGGTCTCCCTCGATGTAGAAAGCCCCTCTCCGCAGCGCCACCTCATGGACGACAATGCCAAAGCTGTAGACATCTCCTTTCTGCGTCCCCTGCGGGAGAGGGGCCTCGAGACGCATCAGCTCCGGGGCTGTCCACAACCGGTCTGAGAGAGAGGAGGAGGCCATTAAATCTCACTCAAACAGACTTCATGAGCTGGAATCTGGAGCAAAATTTGGGGTTAACAAAGGCCAAGCAAAGAGCCAATCAGGTCTGTTTCCACTCACACCATTCACTGCTGAAGCTGTATTCCAAAGAAAGCACCTAATAAGTTTGTTGTTAGGGCTCATAATAATGATAATAATGCAAAGACGCTTTCACATGTCATGTGACCATACCACCAACCATTCACACACACACCAGACTCATTCTAGGCAATGTGGGTGAAGTGTCTTTCCCAAGGACACAACAACAGCATAGTCTTGTGGTGGGCTCGAACCAACGATCTTCAGGCTCAAAGGCCAATCTGCCAACTACTGAGCCACTGCCGCCCCTATCTACTTTATCTGTCATCATTGTGTCAACTGTAGTCTGTTCATTGCTATTCACCCGCTGTCTCATTATCTGTTGGCGTGATAATGGGACCCCTGAATCGGCCGCCCTTCACTGGCGCCTGTGGACTGTCTTTCCTGGACCAGACTCATAGGCTGCACCCCCACTGCAGCCTCAGTGTGAGGCTGCAGTGAGATGAGATTACCCTGAGGACCATGTTATGAGAGTTTAGTTAGAGCCAGCTCCTCCCACCAGCGTCCAGCTGGAGCTGAGGTTTGTGTGGTCGATAGATCATTTCACTTGTACCATAGGCAAGGAATAAAAAATTTGCCCAAAGCAATTTTTGCCTTATTTGTAATAACCTTTTGCAGTGTAGTGGAAAGGGTTTGACACCCCTGCTTTAACCCTTGTGACCATGTGACTCACGTGCGTAGTAAGCGTGTGCGTCCCTGGTGCTCTCTTCCTCCCTGAAGCTGCTCAGGCCATAGTCTGTGATCTTCAGGACGAAGCGGTTGTCCACCACACAGTTAGAAGATTTCAGCTTCCCATGGGACACGAGGACACTGCTGTGGAGGTACAACATACCCTGGGGAGAGAGGAGAGAGGACCGTCAACTTACTGAGGAGAGAGGAGACCAGGAGATTGTAGGAGAGAGAGAAAAGATTCAATAATTTATTGTCATCGTCACAAAAACAACAAATTTAAATTTTGAGCATCATTGTAATAGAGTAAGTTCAGCCAACTGAGGAGGGTCACCGTGTCACACTCCACTCATGCAGGGGACCCATGTGTTAATGCTGGGGGATGACGGAGAGCCCCTCTCCTCTCGGGGCGTACACAAAGTCTTTTAAAAGCACTGGGGACAGTGCTTTTGCGTCACTGACACCAGGAGGAGATGCTCCGCAGACTCAGTGGGAGATCTGAGGCCTAAAGAATCCATTTCAAATGTAACTGGTCTTTCTCTGGTCTCTTGCTGATCTCTCTTCTCTCTGTTCTTTATCTGGTCTCTCTCTGGTCTCTCTCTGGTCTTTCTCTGGTCTTTCTCTGATCTCTCTCTCTCTGGTCTCTCTCTCTGGTCTCTCTCTCTGGTCTCTTGCTGATCTCTCTTCTCTCTGTTCTTTATCTGGTCTCTCTCTCTTTGTTTAACAAACAACTTTTTAATTTTTACCTTCACTGTGCTTTTTATCTAATCAAGCATGAAAAATTAGAAGATACCAGCAGAGATAGAACCATCAATTCTAGACACAATTAACCTAAACTGAAGCCAGGGGAAGAGGGGGCTTCAGCTGGGGAGTTTTTTACCTTCACAATGTCGTTGATGAGCGAGTACTTGAACATCCAGTCCAGATTGATGCTGTCATTCTCCAGGATGTCCTGCACAAAGGCACAACGGCACATGTATGAAAGTTCTGCCTCATTCAGAGTTAAAGTTCTCATACATGTACTGTACAACACATGTTTGTCAAATGTAATCACACAACAGAGAGAGACCAGGGAGAGCGAGAGACCAGAGAGAGACCAGAAAGAGACAAGAGAGAGACCAGAAAGAGACAAGAGAGAGCAGCAAGAGAGACCAGACAGACCATAAAGAGATCAGGGAGAGACTAGAGAGAGACCAGAGAGAGACCAGAGAAAGACCAGAGAAAGACCAGAGAGAGACCAGAGAGAGATCAGACAGAGACCGGAAAGAGAGACCAGAGAGAGACCAGAGAGAGACCAAAGAGAGATCAGAAAGAGACCGGAAAGAGAGACCAGAGAGAGACCAGAGAGAGACGCAATACCATCACAGGTTTATGTGTGTCTGTTCTATATAATTAAATTGAGAGATCCGGTTTCACTAGAGCTTTGGAAACATCCTAAGACCCTTGAACCATCATGCTGATGTTAATGCGTGGACTGAACATGACTTCTCCCAAAAGACAGAAGCACAAACTGGCTCCAGATGTGTGTGGATATTATTATCGGGCTGTGGTCACTTGTGCCATCAGCAGAGGTCAGAGGTCAGGAGGCGCCTCTCTGTGAGCACGGACCATCTCTCCAGTGACAACACAATCATCGGAACTTTCTCCAGTGAAAGTCTGACACTAAGGAGGACACCAGGCCCAAGAGCACCAGGAGAGGAGGCACCAGGGTATCAGCAATGGTCCAACAGGATCTCACTGAATTGGGTTATTATACTGGCAGACCAGTAGTGGGGCGACAGTGGCTCAGTTGGTAGAGCATTGGCCTTTGAGCCCAAAGGTTGTGGGTTCGAGCCCACCACAAGACCCACTTCACAACTCCCACTGATGATTGCTGTCGTTGTGTCCTTGGGCAAGACACCTAACCCCACTTTGCCTGAAGCTCCCACTGAAAGATCTCAGCTCCTGTGGACTCACCACCTGCAGGAGGATCAGTGAGGGGCTGGTGCTCTGTGTACTGGGTGCAGCTCTGACTGCCACCCCCCCGACCCAGAAATGGATTAAGGGGAAGAAAATGGATGGATGGATACTGGCAGACCATTCTCAGTATGCATGTAGCTTCATTAATATTCATTCATTCATTTTCATCCCTTCATTATCCATTTCTGGGTCAGGGGAGTGGCAATCAGAGCTGCCACCTAAGCTTTATTAATAATTGAAAAATAATAAAGGATCTCTTAGTAGTAAGTGTTGTAGTTGCAGTTGTAGTAGCAGCCACAGAAGTAGCAGCCACAGAAGTAATAGCAACAGCAGCAGCAGTAGCAGTAGCAGTGGTAGTGCAGTACCTGTAGACTCCCGCGGGGGCAGTATTCGGTGAGGATGCACATGTTGGGGGCGTCGATGCAGGCGCCGATGAAACGTGTCAAGTGCTCGTTCTGGACGTCCCTCATCTGCAGCAGAAACAGGATCTGCTTTCATTTTATCACTTAGAGGTTCTCTGTGTCATTTTTACAGTTGCTACAAAAGAAAAAACTTGTTAAACCGATGTGTACAATCCTATTTAATGTGTACATATTCACAGATATGTATATTCCTGAGTATTTCTATCCAGATTATTCTATTCTCAAATATTTTCTTATTATTATTATTATTATTTTTAGATTGTTACTTTAATTTAATTTTTTATGTTTTTATTGCGGAATACTATGCAAGCTACTGTGACAATGCAATTTCCCTTGTGGATCAATAAAGTCTGTCTAAGTCTAACCAATAACAAATGTGACCTTTCTAAGAATATTCACCTCCACCATGTTTTTGAATTGTTGTCATAGATTTAGAATTTGACCTATAAATGTGCATGAGACAGGAGTGCTCTCCAGGTCAATCTTGAAATATATTGGTTGATAAGGGACAAAAAGGGACAAAAGCGAAACTGTGTTTTTGTTTCACAGGTGCTACTAATATCGTTGCTTCCACTGTGCCCTCACAAGTGTGAAGAAGGAACCAGGGAGGACCACAGTTATGTAAAAGAACTACGCAAACAAGAATTTCTCTAGAGAAAGTATTATGCAAAAATCTAGAAATCGTCGTCAGCAAATGTGTCAACACTGAAAGGTAGGAGTTAAAACAACAGGAGGCACATTGTGTAGTTTGTACACAACAGACTCACACAATACACAACTTTCTCCTCACCGTCAGAAATGAGAACAAGGCAGAATCTGCAACACAAGTCTCAGGATGTTCTGATCTGTGTCCACAAGTTTCAACAAAACTTATTAAGGGAAAAGCCTCAAATATGCAAAACACACAGGATCCACACAAAACAATCGCCAGAATATTGTTTATCAACAGTTTGAATGTTCTGTTTTATTACCGTGATGCGGATGCTGCGCCTTGGCTAAAGCTAATAATGATCTGAGTTTTTAGCCACAGTTCTGTCGTTGTGCAAGGCAATGTCCTGCTTCTCAGATCATCGTGGGTTTAAGCTCCCACAGACGTCCCATTCCTCAGTCTCTTCTCTTCACACCACATTTGTAAAACCTACATTTAAGTTTTTACAATTCAATTTTAGCGCCACCGTGTCAAGTGACCAAGACTAATGGAGAGATCTCGTCGTTCATCAAACTAAAGAAGTCTTTCCTTGGCGACGACATATTGTCCTTCCAAGCTACCGTAGTACCAAAGGACTGCAATATAAGATCTCAACTCTAGATGACAGTAAAAAGCTTCTAGTCACTCTCTGCTCAATCTATCTAGTCTTTCTTTGGTCTTTCTGGTCTCTCACACGTTTGAGTAATAACACCAAAGAGACTCATTCTTCTTGGCAAAAATCCTTGTCAGATTAACATTACGTCAAACAGCTCATACAGTCTCTGACCACAGGGGGCACCACTTACATGTTTGAGCTCAAACAGCACTTTCCGGTTCAGCTCCACACGTTTCCGGTTTGTGTATTTGATGGCCACAATGTTTCCCTGCAACACACAAACATATACACAACACACACACACACACACACAGACAGAGACACACAAACACACACACAACCAACACACATGCATGCATATACATACACAACACACACACACAGAATAGACACAAATATACACACACACAGATACATAAACACAACACACACACACAGAGACACAGATACATAAACACAACACACACACAGAGACACATACATACACATATGGTCAGAGTTAAAGTAATGTATTTGTAGTAATTGTAGAATTTCAATTACTCGTACCTTGTAGTACCCAGTCTTCGCAAACACCTGCAGGTTTCCATCCCCCGTCATCAGAGAGCCGTAGTTTGAACCTTTCTACAACAACAAAAAATATGTATAATTAATTCATAAAAATGTACTTGAGATACCTTCTGTTTCTCAGCTCAAAGAGGCATATAGTGACTCCCAGGAATCTTCTCACATGCAGTAGGTTAAAAGTAAGGTCTGTGTGTTACCAGAGACAGTGTGATGCGGCTGCCGCTGCGCAGAACTTTGTCCATGTTGCTCATGTGGATGTCGTCCCAGTGGACCCTCCAGAGCTGAGCCACTAACTCCTTCTCCAGCTTCATACGCCTGGAAAGACAGAAACATGCGAACAATAAGCTAAAATTATCGTAATAACACTATAACTAAGACCTCAAATTACACCTGTGTTACAGACCTCACATTACACTTGTGTTACAGACCTCACATTACACCTGTGTTAAAGACCTCACATTACACCTGTGTTACACACCTCACATTACACCTGTGTTACAGACCTCACATTACACCTGTGTTAAGACCTCACATTACACCTGTGTTAAGACCTCACATTACACCTGTGTTACAGACGTCACATTACACCTGTGCTAAGACCTCACATTACACCTGTGTTACAGACCTCACATTACACCTGTGTTAAGACCTCACATTACACCTGTGTTAAGACCTCACATTACACCTGTGTTACAGACCTCACATTACACCTGTGTTACAGACCTCACATGTGTTAAGACCTCACATTACACCTGTGTTACAGACGTCACATTACACCTGTGTTAAGACCTCACATTACACCTGTGTTAAGACCTCACATTACACCTGTGTTACAGACGTCACATTACACCTGTGCTAAGACCTCACATTACACCTGTGTTACAGACCTCACATGTGTTAAGACCTCACATTACACCTGTGTTACAGACCTCACATTACACCTGTGCTAAGACCTCACATTACACCTGTGTTACAGACCTCACATTACACCTGTGCTAAGACCTCACATTACACCTGTGTTACAGACCTCACATTACACCTGTGCTAAGACCTCACATTACACCTGTGTGAAATATGCTGTATAAATGAGTATCCTTCCTTCCTTACCGGTAGATGAAGACGGTGACGGTTAGCCCCATGGTGAGGAGGAAGAAGAGAATGATGGACACAAGCTGTTGGATGGTGATGGTCTCTGAGGACACACACACGGATAAGTCCTGGTCCAAGTGTGCGACATCATAAAGTGTGACCTTTTATTTATATGTTAAACACACACACCCACACATGTCCAGATGTGTTTTTTGACTATCATCTTGCAAATAACTACATGCTTACCCATTAGCTCAATGATGCCCAATAGGAAAGCGCTCATTGACAAACTTTTGACTTGTAATAAAAAAGTTAACTCCACTAGCTTAGTAACCCTTTGTGTCACGCTCAGCATTTGGGGCTTAAAAAATCTGTGGTTCAGCGCTTTTTATAATCCTGGTGTTTATATTGTGATATGTCACTCTTTTGTACAATTGATATTTGTAAATCCAGATATGAGCCCTCTACAAATGACTAAGGGCTTCAGTCATCAAATTCAGCTTTAGCATCAAGTAGCCCAAGTGGGGGCAGAACGGCGTCTCCCCTGATTGGCTGTTGGTAACTCAGCCATTCCAAGGCCTCTTTGAGTTAGCTCTATAATCTGCAGCTGTATTTTGCAGTGAATGAATGGCTTTTGACAGCTGCAGCAGCACTCAGACCTACATCCAGCAGGTTTGATATATCTGTGATCGCACTTCAGCAGCAGTAATTTCTGGTGGTTATAAAAGTGTATAATGCTGCGTTCAGAATAAACGCTTTTCAGTATCAAAATCGTGTCCAACGCGCTTCGTTGGGCGCTCGTGACAGATTCTGACAGACGCTGTCACTGAACGTTCTGGAGGCGCGTGACGCACGTCCAAAACACTGGAGGGAAGAGAACGTTTTGAACACAGCGAAGCGAAGGACACAGCGGCCGTGATGGAAGGTAAACAATTTAAAATACGCTTTAATTAGGACAAAAAAGTTAATTCTAATAACATTTGAGGCGAGAAATACCCCCCTCTATTGTCATATCAGAGGTCTGTTTGGTGATCAAAAAGAAAATGTTCGGACATTTCTTCCAGGGCTAAGCTCCGGCGCTAGCTAACACCTAAAGCCCAGAACAGAGCGTCGGAACGCGGGGACACATTTGAGAGCTCCCTTGATGTTTATCATCTTAAAACAGTCTTTATTATGAAAACCCATAGACGAGGCTTCTGTAACAAACTTTCTCTGTTATAACAATTGTATTTGCAGCAATCATAGTCATATTTCATGTCACAAAATATCACATGTAACAATGCACATATATGAAATAAATGATTATTATCTATGATTCATATATTTGTTATGGCCTCGTTTGTGCATCACTTAAAAGTAATTTGTATCAGGCCTAAATGTAATAACGTGTGTTTGCTGATGAGAAAGGAACAATCATGGATCTATAATATCTGTAAAATGGAGTTGAACACAGGAGATGAAGTCTTGAAAAGCAACAGACTGTTACTAACGAGATTAGAGTTGAATGTGTTCAATTAGATGTACAAGTACTGCAGACAAATATGTACAGTGCCTTGCGAAAGTATTCGGCCCCCTTGAACCTTTCAACATTTCGCCACATTTCAGGCTTCAAACATAAAGATATAAAAATCAATTTTTTTGTCAAGAATCAACAACAAGTGGGACACAATCGTGAAGTGGAACGACATTTATTGGATAATTTAAACTTTTTTAACAAATAAAAAACTGAAAAGTGGGGCGTGCAATATTATTCGGCCCCCTTGCACTAATACTTTGTAGCGCCACCTTTTGCTGCAATTACAGCTGCAAGTCGCTTGGGGTATGTCTCTATCAGTTTTGCACATCGAGAGACTGGAATTCTTTCCCATTCTTCCTTGCAAAACAGCTCGAGCTCAGTGAGGTTTGATGGAGAGCGTTTGTGAACAGCAGTCTTCAGCTCTTTCCACAGATTCTCGATTGGATTCAGGTCTGGACTTTGACTTGGCCATTCTAACACCTGGATACGTCTATTTGTGAACCATTCCATTGTAGATTTGGCTTTATGTTTTGGATCATTGTCCTGTTGGAAGATAAATCTCCGTCCCAGTCTCAGGTCTTTTGCAGACTCCAACAGGTTTTCTTCCAGAATGGTCCTGTATTTGGCTCTATCCATCTTCCCATCAATTTTAGCCATCTTCCCTGTCCCTGCTGAAGAAAAGCAGGCCCAAAGCATGATGCTGCCACCACCATGTTTGACAGTGGGGATGGTGTGTTCAGGGTGATGAGCTGTGCTGCTTTTACGCCAAACATATCGTTTTGCATTGTGGCCAAAAAGTTCGATTTTGATTTCATCTGACCAGAGCACCTTCTTCCACATGTTTGGTGTGTCTCCCAGGTGGCTTGTGGCAAACTTTAAACGAGACTTTTTATGGATATCTTTGAGAAATGGCTTTCTTCTTGCCACTCTTCCATAAAGGCCAGATTTGTGCAGTGCACGACTGATTGTTGTCCTATGGACAGACTCTCCCACCTCAGCTGTAGTTATCTGCAGTTCATCCAGAGTGATCATGGGCCTCTTGGCTGCATCTCTGATCAGTCTTCTCCTTGTTTGAGATGAAAGTTTGGAGGGACGGCCGGGTCTTGGTAGATTTGCGGTGGTCTGATACTCCTTCCATTTCAATATAATTGCTTGCACAGTGCTCCTTGAGATATTTAAAGCTTGGGAAATCTTTTTGTATCTAAATCCGGCTTTAAACTTCTCCACAACAGTATCTCGGACCTGCCTGGTGTGTTCCTTTGTCTTCATGGTTCTCTCTGCGCTTTAAACAGAACCCCGAGACTATCAAAGAGCAGGTGCATTTATACGGAGACTTGATTACACACAGGTGCATTCTATTTATCATCATCAGTCATTTAGGACAACATTGGATCATTCAAAGATCCTCACTGAACTTCTGGACTGAGTTTGCTGCACTGAAAGTAAAGGGGCCGAATAATATTGCTACTATTTTATAATAGGAGGTGATGGAGGTGAAGCAGGAGGTGACGGAGGTGAAGCTGGAGGTGACGGAGGTGAAGCTGGAGAAATGATGCCGTGTGATTTTAAGTCAGAGTTCCATTTCACCAGAAGTCTCTGAAAAAGAACACAAACATCAAATTAAAACATGGACACCTCAAAATAAAATACAGACATTTTTCCTGTATTAAATATTTGAAGTACAAACTTTCACAGCAGGAGAAACACACACTCTGAGGAGTAACAGAAGAATCATATGATGGAAATATACACACAAATAAAACTTAGAAGCGTGGCTAACCATTTTAAACCTGTTGTTGTGGAAATCAGACTGTCATCTGCAAATATCTTTTATTAATGACAAAAGAAACATCTGCATAATGTGCTTTTATTTCATCATTCTATATAAATACTGATATCAGACTATTGTATGAAAAGTGCTTCATAATAAGCCTAATATATACAGTAAATGTAAATAAATATACAGTATTCCCAGTCTTAGTATAGGATTAAAAACGATATACACAATCTATTGTATATGAATACAGATAACATGTGTTAGCATACTACATGTTAGCATACTATAGCTGCTGTCTCCATGGACTGTTTCCATGAAAACGTGACTGTTTAGCTTGAATATGTCATCTGTGGGTTTATTTCTCCCTGTGACATTACAGATTTTGCGCGGGGAAGTATTAACAATTTTGAACAATTTAAATAACTTACCCGAGACACTAACCTCCTCACTAACCCTTCTCCATTTCTGTCACGGTGATTATAGTCCGCGGGGCTAACAGCACAGCGTGTCCTCCACAGCTGATGTCTTCCTGTCTTCCCCTTTGGTCCTGTCGTGAAATGCGTCACTACGTCACTGTTACAGAAAGCTCCTGATTGGTCGACGCTCGCGAATTCGTCCAAAAGAAATAAACAATGTTCAACTCTAGCGTCGGCCGCGTTGAAATCTCAAAACGCGCCGTCCGAAGCGCGAAACGCTTGAAGACATGCCGCTTGGGAGGCGCGTGACGCCCCGCGGGATCTCTCGACGCTCCTTGAGGCGCGTCCCCCATGTATTTTCAATGCAAACCCGACGCTTTGGACGCGTTTGGTCTGAACGCAGCATAAATGTGTGAGATTTTACAACCTTAAGATGTAGAGCTGCTACTTCAAGGATTTCATTTATTGTGGGTTCATGTTACGGCCCTGGGCCTGTAAATGTTGTGTGTTTTTGTGTGTGAGTGTGGCAACCACCCCTTGTTTCGAGATCCCTGGCCTGTGATTGGAGAACTACTGGTCACACCTGTTCTAGTATTCAGTACAGAGATCACTAGATCAAAAGAGCACACTCACTGGCCAGACAGATCGGGTTGTCGTTTCTGAAGCCGCACTGGGGGATGTCTCGTGGAGGGGCCCCTAAGGGCCAGTGGAGCTGTGTCCCAGGGACTGGGGACAGCGACTCATCCGACCCGTTGAAGAGCATGGCAATCTGGGCACAAATACGACCAAACCATGTGTGTTTAAGACTTTATCGTCTCACACCAGTTCCAAGAAGCCAAACATTTGTGGTCCAATGAAACAGCAGAAACACACAAGTGACACATGAACGTACAGGACATTTAGCAAAACAAAAATATTGTAGAAGGAATTACCGACTTGCAGCAACAATCAGGGAACTGGTGGAGAGACAGATCCTCCGCTAACATCTCCCAAACCCTAAGTGAACCCTGAACACTCCCAAACTATGTGGAATAATCCCGACTGTCGAGTCGAGTCCCTCATACACTTCATAAATGAATCCAACATGCATAAATTGCACTGAAAACTGCGTTGTAAGACGTGGGGAAACCACCATAACATGACAGCCAAAAGTTGGAGATTTAAGCCCTGTTTCCACTAGTCCTACTTGGCCATAGTCACGCCTATGTCCGTCATTGAAACTAATGTGACCATACTTTCACCTTCTGTGGGTAGTTTCAAAATGGCTGCGGGCAGTTTTTAAATGTTGAAAAAACGCATGTGTGCATGCGTTCGCCGGCATGAGCCCCATTCATTTGACGTGTGCATTGTAAAGTCCACAGAGGCTAAACTAAACTGGTGCAAAAAAAAACAACTCCCCTCCGCATTGACACATCTGGAACATAGCGTTGGGCCAAGAGCCGACTTTTGTGACATCCTGTAAAGACGTTTTTCGAGAGGAAAGAAGGCGCCATACAAAAGCATTGGATAATTGCTAGGAGGGTTACATGTCAGCGCACATTCTCATCTTGTTTTAGTGCCCTTTCCTTGGTTGGTCAGAGTTGGTCAGAGTTACCTGGTAGACGGAGGAGTTGGTGTCACTTAGGTCCCACAGAACAAAGTCCGTGTCTCGGTCTCCGTTTTCGTCCAGATGCAGGACTCCAGTCACTCCTGAGGGAAACGCATGAGTCACACAAAAGAGACAATACTTTTAATAAGGACAGCGTTCTGAGCCGTGGAGCCGTGTTTGGTCTGAACGCACCATTACTGTCAGAGTTTGGGCAGTTTGTCAAGTACTACAGACGGAAAGTAGCATGGTGCTAAATCTGGTTCAGCCATTTTTTTAATGCAACTGCACACTGTCCTTAGAAAATGAAACTAAAATTAAATTACATATGCTTGAAAGGGTTAGGGTTAGGGTTGTCGGAAACTTGCTTAATTAAAATGTGCTTCTCTCTGGCATTGCTCTGGTCTCTCTCAGGTCTTTGGTCTCTCTCTCTGGTCTCTGTTTCTGGTCTCGCTCAAGTCTCTCTCTGATCTCTCTTCAGGCTTGAATTCAGGTCACAATCCAATACAACAAACACATATTATACACATTGTAATAATCACATGTACTAAGTATTTAGTTACTACAGCGCCCTCTGTGGCTCAGCTACATTTTGGCTCTGAGTGGCTCTTGTATTGGTCACATGTCCAAACCAACATCCAACTTTAAATCTGTGAAAACTGCTGTTTACAAGTTAGTTAAGACAAATGGGCAAAAAATCAGTCTCTAGTCCTCTGTGTGTTTGCTTTGTGTTGCATGGGTATGAATACTTTTGGAGTCCCGTGTTTAAATGTCAGAGCGATTCTCATGAATCGTGTTTGTGTACCCGCTGGGTCGCGAACACTTTATTCTCTTTATTGACATGTTGACGTGACATTTGGAGCAAGAGGGCGGGTCACATCACCTCTGCCCGCACTACTATTGGTGGAAATGTCAGCGCTCGTCATGACGCCCGTAAATCAGCTGGAGAGGTCATGTGATTGCCGTGAGAGGAGAAAGAAGAGTGCCATGTGTGAGGGTTCATCTGTGCCAAATTACCCTGTTTTCAGCTCCATGTTCTAGGTCATTAGAGCCAAAAACCCTCACTATCAACAACACTTTGATAAACTCCTTGGTCCCTGCTGAAATATGATTCTACTACATGAACACAACACAATTGTTTTGAATGAAAGCCGAGAAAAACACTTCTTTTGGACGAGTCATGTCAAGGTTTTATTTGTGTTTCAGTGTTTTCCTAAACCATCGATTCATCTCAGGTTTCTACAGAACATGTCTGAGTTCTCAGTGTGTACCACAGGCCGTAAGGCAAGACAGAGTCTTTTTTCTAATAATATGCTTTTAATGCAAATTGTAAACATATGTGAAGTGGACTGGCCGAGTGTGACGTCAACATTGTATTATTATTAGCATAAGTTATTCCCTATATAACATACTGTATGAAGCACAGACGTGTTCATAAAGAAGAAATATAGAACCTATGTAATAAAATGTTGCTTATCTGTTAGAGGGGTTAATCTGTGGAATGGATGCACAGATTATTTTAAATCATGTAATCCACTTTTCCACTTGAAGAAGTTTAAAACTATCATTTTGGATGGCGACAGGAACTCCACACATTCACTTACTGTATGACAATCATAAAAAGGGTAGTTCAAATAAGCATTTTTTTTTCTAAATAAAAAACTCCATTCATTCATTCATTCATTAGCCGTCATGTATAAGTGGCGGATTTAAACGTGATCAAGATGGCGCCAAATTTCTTATATGGGCATTTGTGCCGACCGTGTTAGATTAAACCGTAACAGGGGCAGACATGTTGCTAAGATGGTTGCCAAGGCAAGCTGGAGTTTTCTCCCCGTGAATGAAGGTATCTGATTGGTCAATCCTTTCATGAGCCACATGAGCCAATCCATATATGCCTCTTAGCTTACTAAGACAATATGAAAATACAAATGCCAGGATCATAGAAAGATCCAAAATGACACAATTACTGAGCTAGAGGAGTTCAATGTAAGTCAAAAGAGACTGCGAGTATAAGCAGAACTTGGTCTATGAGCACTTCCCTACTGGGCTTGATTGAGCTAAGGCAGGCTCAGGCCTAGACTAATTTTAGTAGCCCCTGAAATTATTTTCAATTATCATTATTACAGTAACTTGCAGTATTGACGGTGATGGGATACTATGGTGTGTTATACTTTATTTTAAAGTTTATTTTATCAGCAAAAATAACATATAATTGAATCTGTTCTAAAATGTTTCCAAATATGTAATTAAAAGTTAATTTAGAAAGATATATTTCTGTATATTTTAGGTCCGTGTACTTTTGCGTTCAATACATTTTCTATTTTTGAAGGGAAATGGAAAATCGAAAAATCAATTTTGCATTTTCAGGCACACAGCAACATACTAAAATGACCATTTTGGTTTTGTCAGTACTTATAAGACATAGATATATTATAATAACCGGATTTGGGAACTAGAAAATACAATAATTAACCTTTTTTAATATGTATTTGATACATTTTGGCGTCAATCGATAACCCGGAAGTGAAACAAGTTTGTTTACTTCAGCCCCATTCGCTCTTGTATTTGTCCAAACACAGACGTTCTGTGATAATACTAATCTCCTGAGAATCTACATGTCTGTGATTATGATCGTGATTGCCGCTTTCAATAACAATAAGCAGAGGAGTCCTCTATTTTATTATTTATTATTCCAATTACTAATCTTTTTGATATTTGGCCCAGTTATGGTTGATTTCAATCATACTAGAAAATCACATCTAAACCAAATGTCAAACAAAAGGAATTTGTCAAAATAAAAAAAATTTTTAAAAATAAAACAAAATAAAAATAAGTAAGGGATAACGTGTATTACGCAGGTCATTATCGGAAAAAGTACCTTCAGGGCGGAAGCGGACCCCGACTGAAGAACTCCGTGCACGTGTGTGAAGAATGTATAAGTATAAGTATTCTCTGATTAACATTTAAGTGTGTTATTGATTGGTATTTGCATTTATTGAGCGTGGCTAGCTCCGGAGTGGCCGGAACTACTTGCAGAGTTATCCACGCATCTGAAAGACAAGCAGAGAGTGCGTTGCCAAAGGGCAGCGGCCATTATTGTTTTGAGAGGTCCGTTATAGAAAATAATGACCGGTAGAACGTTTTGAAATTACATTAAAATCAACGAAGCATTCTACTGCTGCTGTGAGGAGCCGTGTAATAAAATGATAATAATAATAAAATGATAATAATAATAATAATAATAATAATAATAATAATAATAATAACTTTCAAGTTTACTTCTGGCCCCAATCACTTGGCCCCCCATCAAAATGGTATAACACCCCTGAGCTAGAGGGTTAGCATTATCCATTACAGTCTATGGGTCAGACCCATTCTACTAAACTCTCTATGGGGCTTGAAAAGCTCTTATCCAATCAGACAAATGGGAACTGGCTATTTGTGGATTATCAGTTAGTTAAAGACAATAGGAAAGTGTTCTGATTGGCTTAACTATGATTTTCTTTTCTGTCTGCTGCGTGAGGCTCTCATCAGGACGTTTGTGTCACTTTGACTTTCAGCAGTGACTCAAATAAAAACAGGACGAGATGTGATCTGCTTCCTCTGACATTTCCCCTGGAGCCACACCAGCAGCAGGCAAACCAGCAGCAGGCAAACCAGCAGCAGGCAAACCAGCAGCAGGCAAACCAGCAGCAGGCAAACCAGCAGCAGGCAAACCAGCAGCAGAGACCAGTAGGAGTCAGACCAGAAGCAGTAGTTGTAGCAGCAGCAGTAGCAGGAGGACTAGTAGCAGTAGTAGCAAGAGTAGTGGCAGTAGCAGCAGCAGTACTAGCAGAAGTAGTACTAGCAGCAACAGTAGCATTAGCAGCAGGAGGAGTGGTAGCAGTAGTAGTAGTAGCAAGAGTAGTGGCATTAGTAGCAGCAGCAGCAGTAGCAGAAGTAGTACGAGTATCAGTAGTAGTAGCAGTAGTAGTATCATCCAGACTAAACCAAACCATCACAGCTACTGTTTACTCTCTCTGTTTGCTCTGTGCTCTCTCGCCCATTAGCGCTGAGAGCTAACACATTAGCATGTGCCATTAGCTCATTAAACACGGGGGAGAGAGCGGGAGGACTGCTGACACACCACAGACTCGTGCTACAGGTTAAACCCCCAGAGAGGCTGTGGAGGAACTGCAGACACGCCCAGAGAGGCTGTGGAGGAACTGCAGACACGCCCAGAGAGGCTGTGGAGGAACTGCAGACACGCCCAGGAGAAGGACCAGGTCGCAAGGCGGGTTGGACGCCCGAGTTTGCAGTGTGAAAGGAAGACGAGACCGAGAGTTTAGGTTCATGGGAAATGAGGCTTTTGACTGATTTGTACTAAATCAGGACTAAACCAGGTCTAAAGCAGAGACTAAACTAGGTCTAAACCAGGTCTAAAGCAGGACTAAACCAGGTCTAAAGCAGAGACTAAATCAGGACTAAACTAGGTCTAAAGCAGAGACTAAATCAGGACTAAACCAGGTCTAAAGCAGAGACTAAACTAGGTCTAAACCAGGTCTAAAGCAGGACTAAACTAGGTCTAAAGCAGAGACTAAATCAGGACTAAACCAGGTCTAAAGCAGAGACTAAACTAGGTCTAAACCAGGTCTAAAGCAGGACTAAACTAGGTCTAAAGCAGAGACTAAATCAGGACTAAACCAGGTCTAAAGCAGGACTAAACTAGGTCTAAAGCAGAGACTAAATCAGGACTAAACCAGGTCTAAAGCAGGACTAAACTAGGTCTAAAGCAGAGACTAAAGAAGTGCTAAAGCAGGGCGAAAGCAGGACTAAAGTGGGTACAAACAAGAAATAAACCAGGTCTAACCCAGGACTACGGTTGGTCTAAAGTAGGACTAAGCCAGGATAAAGCAGGTTTGAATATAGAATAAACCAGGAATAAAGCAGGTCTAAACCAGGATGAATCAGGTCTGAGGTCTCTGATTGCTCTGTCACAGTGGTTGATTTCCTGACAGTTCTGTTTCCATAAATATCCATGTAATCAGATCTGAGCCCCGTGCACACTCCTGACCCACGTGCACACTCCTGACCCACGTGCACGCTCCTGAGCCACGCACCTCCCTATGTCTCCAATTTTGACCTGGTTCAGTCGAGGTTCAAACCTGCTTCATTCCTGGTTCAGACCTGGTTCAGTCCTGGTTCAGACCTGGTTCAGTCCAGGTTCAGTCCTGGTTCAGACCTGGATTTAGACCTGGATTCAGTCTTGCTTCAGTCCTGGTTCAGACCTGGTTCAGTCCTGGTCTGGAGCAGGTGTGGATGCGGTCGTCATGGAGACCTCTTCATGATGTGACAGATCAAATCACATTAACCACATTAGAGCTGATGGAGGAGGGGAGGACACTTTGTGCCAGACGACCCTGATGTAATCATGGAAGGAGCTAAACACAACTGCAGGTCTATTAGTGATGAGGAACATTACGAACTTAACCGGCGCATTAAAGCTGCGTACAAAACTTTAGTCTCATTAATAACATGTAGTTTGTCCAAGAGAAAGAGTGTTGTAAAAGTGAAATGTAAAATTACCTGTCTTCATCTTATGTTCTCTTGTGTGTGTAAAGACTCTCAGACTCTTTTGGCTGAGAGCTGATTGGCTGAGAGCTGATTGGCTGAGAGCTGATTGGCTGAGAGCTGATTGGCTGAGAGCTGATTGGCTGAGAGCTGATTGGCTGAGAGCTGATTGGCTGAGAGCTGATTGGCTGAGAGCCGATTGGCTGAGAGCTGATTGGCTGAATGAGGCTGACCCTTCATTATTCACTTTTCTGTCTGAAAATTATGTGATCTAAAGATGGGGCAGAAGCCAAAATATGCATGCATGTAAAAACTAGACCAAGATCAGGACCAAGACACAGACACAGACCATATATCTCCTTTTCAATTGTTGTGGTCTGAAAGTTAAGTACCCCAGATTTAACCTGAATACGCACACACGCACGCACACACACACACGCACACACACACACACACACACACACACAGGGTGACAGGACACGTGCAGGAGGCTAACCCAGGACATGCTAACAGGAAGTAAACAGGAATTGCTGGAGTAAAGGGCATGCTCACTTCCTGTATGGGAGGAAACATCTGGATCCAAATCCAGGACTGAGGGACTTTCTCCAAACACTGAGACTGTTGATCCAGGACTGAGGCTGTAGACCCAGGACTGAGGCTGTAGATCCAGGACTCAGGCTGTAGATCCAGGACTGAGGCTGTAGATCCAGGACTCAGGCTGTAGATCCAGGACTGAGGCTGTAGATCCAGGACTGAGGCTGTAGATCCAGGACTGAGGCTGTAGATCCAGGACTGAGGCTGTAGATCCAGGTCTGAGGATATAGATCCAAGACTAAGGCTGTAGATCCAGGACTGAGGCTGTAGATCCAGGACTGAGGCTGTAGATCCAGGACTGAGGCTGTCGTATAATAAGTTTGAAAACAGCACGTGTAGACAGAAGGGGTGGGGGGATGCGTCTGTTTGTGATCCGGTCAGTGTTGGAACATGGTTTAAAACGTCTCCTTTGATCCAAGACTTCAGCCCAGATCTCAGCCCTGCTCCAGGCCCCAGTTACAGTAAGTCCTGGTTCAGGTCCAGGATCAAGGACCAAAGGAGGCGCTGGGGCTGAGATTAGAACCACATGCGCAGTGACGTCAGCGTGTTTTTGATGTATGCAGACGATAACGTGTGCGTACAGCAAAGGTCTGAACTTTGTCCAATATGTTAAAGCTCTCCTCCCATTTCCCACTGAGGCGAGGGGACACTCCGAGACCAAGGGAGACCAAGGGGAAGGTCTGGACTAAACACAGACCAAGACCAAACCAAGAGAGACCAGAGAGAGGCCAGAGATCCACTTCAGTCCTGCTTTAGACTTGTTCTAGTCTAGCTTTAGTCCGACTTTAGTCCTACATTAGTCATGCTTTAGTCCGGCTTTAGTCCTGCTTTAATCCTGCTTTAGTCCGGCTTCAGTCCTGCTTTAGTCCTGCTTTAATCCTGCTTTAGTCCGACTTTAGTCCAGATTTAGTCCATCTTTAAAAAAGGTTTAGTATGGCTTAAGTCCAGCTTTAGTTTGGCTTTTAACCGGCTTCAGTCCTGCTTTAGTCTGGATTTAGTCCATCTTAAATAAAGGTTTAGTGTGGCTTTAGTCCTGCTTTAGTCCTGCTTTAGTCCTGTTTCAGTTCTGCTTTAGTCCGGCTTTAGTTCTGCTTTAGTCCGGCTTTAGTCCTGCTTTGGTCCAGCTTTAGTCCTGCTCTAGTCCTGCTTTAGTCCTGCTTTAATCCTGCTTTAGTCCGACTTTAGTCCAGATTTAGTCCATCTTTAAAAAAGGTTTAGTATGGCTTAAGTCCGGCTTTAGTTTGGCCTTTAACCGGCTTCAGTCCTGCTTTAGTCTGGATTTAGTCCATCTTAAATAAAGGTTTAGTGTGGCTTTAGTCCTGCTTTAGTCCTGCTTTAGTCCTGCTTTAGTCCTGCTTTAGTCCTGCTTTAGTCCTGCTTTAGTCCTGCTTCAGTTCTGCTTTAGTCCGGCTTTAGTCCTGCTTTGGTCCAGCTTTAGTCCAGCTTTAGTCCGGCTTCAGTCCTGCTTTAGTCCGGCTTTAGTTCTGCTTTAGTCTGGCTTTGGTCCTGCTTTGGTCCAGCTTTAGTTCTGCTTTAGTCCGGCTTTAGTTCTGCTTTAGTCCGGCTTTAGTCCTGCTTTGGTCCAGCTTTAGTCCTGCTTTAGTCCTGCTTTAGTCTGGCTTCAGTCCTGCTTTAGTCCTGCTTTAGTCTGGCTTCAGTCCTGCTTTATTCCGGCTTTAGTTCTGTTTTAGTCCCTCCTTGTGTTCAGTACAGTTTGAGTCTTGTTCAGGACATACTGTTCATTCTTGGCCTCTGACACAGTCTATGTGATAGGAGCAGAGCCAAAGGAAACCCAGATCCAAGACTCCAGACCCCAGACCAGACCATACCCTACCAGACCATCCCGGACCAAACTGTTTTTGAACAAGACAAAATTTAACGTGACATTAATTTAACGTGCCGCTCCATGAGAAAAGGACCACATTCTCTGCAAACTTAGCAGGACAGTAGATACGCTTTACAAAACTTAAAATTAGAGCTAACTCAAACAGCTCCATGGACAGAAATCTGGAGAAATAGAAACCTCATAGTAACAAAAAAGCCAGTCAGGTGATGGTACAGCATTAAACCACACATTTTTAAGGCAAGTTTACTGCTCGGTGAAAGCACGTCAGACTTTGACTTTAGACCTGATTTACACCTGCTTTAAATATGCTTTAGTCACCTTGAGACCTGCTTTAGTCCTGCTTTGTTTATTCTTATATACAGTAGCCCTAAAGCACAACAGTCATAAACTCAAAGGACTTAACAAAGTTGTCGAATTCACCAACACAGAGAATCTAACAGTTCAAAAACAAGAAATTCATTAATAACAAACATAGGAGCCAATGGTCCATAAGGGGCGGATAAATGTCCTTAGTCCTGCATTAAACCTATTTAGTCCTGTTTTAGACTTGCTTTAGACCTGCCCTTGTAAAATTGGCTATGACTGATTTTCTGTTTAATGTCCCCATAGGGAAATTTGTCCTTTGCATTTAACTCATCCTTCTTTGCCACTAGGGCCTCAGTCGGGAGCAGTACAGGGCAGTCATCTCCAGATACTGATGCAATACTTGGTCAAGAATAGGGATTTGGCCTATTATTGAAGAGCTTGCAGGGTTTTCCAGGATTTGAACCCAGAACCTAAGATTCCTGGACCAGAGTGCTAACCACTGCTAAGCCAGCGTGGAGATGATGAGCTTGGCTCTCTGGCTTTCACACACATGCTTGCTTAGATCTGAAGTGTGTAATGAGGTTTTTAGAACAGGCAAGGTTATATATAGCAGTTAAGTGTGTTTTCTCAACTTCAGATCAATACCTTGCAGTCTTCTCAACAGTCTCCACAGCAAATGGAATCAGTGAGAAAACAAGAGCCAACAAGACACAACAAACCTAATGCTTTTGAATCCAGATCTGCTTTAGATCATCGTGATGATAATAATAATGCATCAGTTTTGTAAAGCACTTTTTTGGACATTCAAGTACACTTCACATGCCATTATTCATTCATTCCATACACGGTGGAAATAAACTACGACTGTAGTCACAGCTGTCCTAGGGCACTGACAGAAGCGAGGCAACCAGTGCCATCGGCCCCTCCAATTCCCACCAGCCATTCACACACACACATCAAACTCATTCTAGGCAATGTGGGTGAAGTGTCTTGCCTAAGGACACAACAGTTTGGCCCTTTACAGCATCTGGTGTTCCCAGAGGTCTCTCATCACAGTACTAACCAAGCCTTGCCCTGCTTAGCTTCAGAGATCTGACAAGATCTGGCTTTCACCTGCTGGAATAGCCGCAAAAACAAGCCACAGGAACAATCCTCCAGCTCTCGTAGCATTGACCACGCAGAGAATCAGAGAGACCAGAGAGGAGACCAGAGAGAGATACCAGAGAGAGAGAGAGATCAGAGAGAGACCAGAGAGAGATACCAGAGAGAGAGAGAGAGAGAGATCAGAGAAAGACCAGAGAGAGATACCAGAGAGAGAGAGAGATCAGAGAGAGACCAGAGAGAGATACCAGAGAGAGAGAGAGAGATCAGAGAGAGACCAGAGAGAGATACCAGAGAGAGAGAGAGATCAGAGAGAGACCAGAGAGAGATACCAGAGAGAGAGAGAGAGAGAGATCAGAGAGAGAGAGAGAGAGATCAGAGAGAGACCAGAGAGAGATACCAGAGAGAGAGACCAGAGAGAGATACCAGAGAAGAGACCAGAGAGGGTGACCAGAGAGAGAGACCAGAGAGAGATACCAGAGAAGAGACCAGAGAGAGAGAGATCAGAGAGGGAGACCAGAGAGAGACCAGAGAGAGATACCAGAGAAGAGACATTATATATTTTTCATTTTTAATAAAGAAAAGCGCCAAAACTCAGGTAAGAACACAGCTCCACGGCTCAACAGTTTATCAGAGGGCACAAAATTGTTAAAAGCCAAATGGATGAAACCAGCTTCAAACAGACTGATATCAGACTGACCGTAGTACGTGCGGTTCCACATGCGCCGTGTCACCTCAGTTCCCGTTGGTCTGAGAGAGTCCAGGTCCGGTCTGTGGCCTGCTCTGTGATCCGGTCTGTGGGTCCGGTTCAGTCCGGTTTTGGCCAATTCACTTAGGGACTCATTCAGCGCGTGAGTGTACAGCATCAGACCGTCGTAGAACGCTCCAGCGATGATGTTCATCTGCAACCACAGTGCACCACCATGAGCCCCGTTTCCACCAGCCCAATTCTACTCTACTCTACCTGGGTGAGTTTCCATGACGAATCTGGTACTAAATCTGAGCAACCTACCGACAACAAACAAGTATCACAGGAAATGCTGTGGTGACCAAGCCTTCCAGCAGCACTCTGGCCAATCACTGTCAGTTAGAACACATAGAACCAGAGCCAAGCAGGTGCAAAAAATATAAAATATTAGGGAATTAATACTTGAATCAAGTGTTTTAACTTAATTTGAGTACATTCGGACTTTCTTAAAACTAGATTTGTAAATGGGACAATACGGGATAATATAATTAAATCCATGGCGCAGATACTGCTGTAATATGATGTGTCTTGTGGATCTCAGACACACAGACAAGCGGAGCTGCACTTGTGGAGGAGAACGTTGCATGAAAAGCCGCTAGCTTAAACTCGTTAGCATCAAAGCCCGCCCAACACTTTCACCCTGCATTATGGGGCATTGCAGGTCAGTAGGGCAGATTTTCTAAACTCATGGGGCTTCAAGATGCATAGAGGATGCGTTGATGCATTGAACATGTCTTAACTTAAAGGAATAGTTCACCGTTTTTACATACTGACATATGTTCTTACCTTACCTTAGACTAGTTAATACGTACCTGTCTGGTCTTAGTCCGTGCGCTCTGTCATGCAAACGGAGCAAAAACGGGAGCACAAACGCAGCCTCCTCTGTATACTGTGTAGGACCAAAAGGTAGCTCCCGCTAGAAGCTACCAAACTCTTCCAAGTGTTCCCTATTAAATGTATATAGTTACGTGACGTGTTACACTGCAAAGTATAGTAACACAGAAATGTAACTGTCGATTTTCTCAGCGGATAAAACGGGTACTATATTGTGAGGCGTAGTAATCTGAGGAGCGCTACGTCCGCGCACTAACTTCTCTCTGTACTACAAGTCACGCTGCTTCTATTGACGGAAGTGAGCGAGAGAGAAGTCTCCGGAGAGAAGTTAGTGCGCGGACGTAGCGCTCCTCAGATTACTACGCCTCACAATATAGTACCCGTTTTATCCGCTGAGAAAATCGACAGTCACATTTCTGTGTTACTATACTTTGCAGTGTAACACGTCACGTAACTATATACATTTAATAGGGAACACTTGGAAGAGTTTGGTAGCTTCTAGCGGGAGCTACCTTTTGGTCCTACACAATATACAGAGGAGGCTGCGGTTGTGCTCCCGTTTTTGCTCCGTTTGCATGACAGAGCGCACGGACTAAGACCAGACAGGTACGTATTAACTAGTCTAAGGTAAGAACATATGTCAGTATGTAAAAACGGTGAACTATTCCTTTAAGGCTCCCAGGGGCCGAGCTGAACCAGAGTTGAAGGCTGTAAAACCCCTCACACACACTTTTCTAACCACCTGAACTCACGACTGCTTGTGTGTGTGTGTGTGTGTGTGTGTGTGTGTGAGTGTGTGTGTGTGTGTGTGTGGAGAGTGTGTGTGTGGAGAGTGTGTGTGTGTGGAGAGTGTGTGTGTGTGTGTGTGTGGAGAGTGTGTGTGTGGAGAGTGTGTGTGTGTGGAGAGTGTGTGTGTGTGGAGAGTGTGTGTTCTCACCAGTGTGTCCTCCACGGTGTAGTTGAACATCTCCAGAGAGTCCTTCTTCAGGTCTTGGATGAACTCCTTGTATTCTGAGTTCTGAGGTTCTCTGTAGGTCAAGATCTTCACGTTCTGAAACAAAAGGAAAATGTTCTGAGTTTTTGAAACTTGACCCAAGAGAGAGAGACCAGAGACAGATTTGAGAGAATCCCAGATAGAGAGACAAGAGAGAGACCAGAGAGAGACTGAAGAGAGACCAGAGAAAGAGAGAACACGAAGAGACCAGAGAGAGAGAGAGAACACGAAGAGACCAGAGAAAGAGAGAACACGAAGAGACCAGAGAGAGAGAGAGAACACGAAGAGACCAGAGAAAGAGAGAACACGAAGAGACCAGAGAAAGAGAGAACACGAAGAGACCAGAGAGAGAGAGAACACAAAGAGACCAGAGAGAGAGAGAACACGAAGAGACCAGAGAGAGAGAGAACACGAAGAGACCAGAGAGAGAGAGAACACGAAGAGACCAGAGAGAGAGAGAACACGAAGAGACCAGAGAGAGAGAGAACACGAAGAGACCAGAGAAAGAGAGAACACGAAGAGACCAGAGAGAGAGAGAACACGAAGAGACCAGAGAGAGAGAGAACACGAAGAGACCAGAGAGAGAGAGAACACGAAGAGACCAGAGAGAGAGAGAACACGAAGAGACCAGAGAGAGAGAGAACACAAAGAGACCAGAGAGAGAGAGAACACAAAGAGACCAGAGAGAGAGACCATAGAGAGAGGTGTTCAGAGTCGTGTTTCTGCAGAAGATTAGATCAGAGACAAATCCACTTAGTCTGACGTCACTGTGAACCAGGAGCAAGAGTCCAGAGCAGACTCCAGGGACTGGTCCAGGACTGGTGCAGACACTAGTTTAGGACTGGTCCAGGGTAAGCAGAGTTGTTCCAGGACCGGTCTAGGTCTGGCAGAGTTAGCTCTAATCATTATGGAACCAGTGTGTTAACTCTAATGGGGGAGTTACAGTAGCTCTAATGTGTGAGTTAGCTCTAATGTGTGAGTCAGCTCTAATGTGTGAGTCAGTTCTAATGTGTGAGTCAGCTCTAATGTGTGAGTCAGCTCTAATGTGTGAGTCAGCTCTAATGTGTGAGTCAGCTCTAATGTGGGAGATAGCTCTAATGTGGGAGATAGCTCTAATGTGGGAGATAGCTCTAATGTGTGAGTCAGCTCTAATGTGGGAGATAGCTCTAATGTGTGAGTCAGCTCTAATGTGGGAGATAGCTCTAATGTGGGAGATAGCTCTAATGCTAGCTCCTATCACCTGGAATGCTAGCTTGGCGGCGGCGTCCTCCTGGTCGCCACGGTACCAGGGCCTCTTGAGGTCAGAGTTCAGGCTGTCTCCGAACACGTCGATGTAGAAGAAGATGAACTCCTCGTGTGGTAGATCTGCAGCGCGGAATTCAACCATCAACTTCCGGAAGACGTCAGGCATACAGCACACGAACATCACTGTGGAGAGATGTGGATCAGCCTCTGTTTACGAGGAGCGCAGGAGTTTTCCGAGCACGTTTCAAGAGTTTCGTCTCCTGTTACAATCAGAGAGATTAAGTGATTTCCACTGTGTTTTTAGACCCGTGTTTTTAGAGCCGTGTTTTTAGACCCGTGTCGACCCAGGAGTGTGTGTGTTCTCCCCGTAGAGTGTTCTCTTGTCTAGGGGGAATAGAGTGAGCGAGACCAGAGAGAGAAACCAGAAACCAGAAAGGGGACCAGAAAGAGACCAGAGATCAGAGGCCTGAGAGAGTCCTAAATGACGGTACACAAAAATCTAGGTACAATTTTATTTAGTATATTTATGGCACAAGAGCTGTATGTTTGCGTATGTATGTGGTCGGCTGGGTTCATGGCACATTCTGATTGCCTCGTTTCTGTCAGTGTGCCCCAGGGCAGCTGTGACTAAAGTGGTAGTTTATGACTATTGTGTGAAGCCTGTTTGAGCATCTTGAAAGCTCTGTATAAAACAATGCATTATTATTATTATTATTATTATTATTATTATTAGATATCACTGTGTTTCCGAGATCACATGAAAGCAGCTATGGCCAAACTTGGAAGAGGTTTGAAAAGACTTCAGCAGAATATGAAATGTAATCATCTTGGCTAAGTTTGGTGGAAAAAGAAGCTGTCAGAATCACTTTCATTAACTTTCAGAAACATCCTCGTGGGAAATCCCGCTCTGATCGAAGTCCCATCGGGTTTCAGAAAATTAGAAACAAGTAAAAGTAGCGTGCGTGAGTGTGTTCCGCAGACTTCAAAACTTCTCCCAGTTTTTCTCGTTAGTGGAAAAGCCGACTGGGAGAAACCACAGCGTTCTTCTGTTTGTGCGGATGTGAGGAGAGTGTGGAGCAAAGGCAGCGTCTGGGGAGGGGGCAGACAGGAAGTGGCAACACAGACAGGAAGTGGCGCTCGTTAGCTTCCCGCGGCGCTAACACTGCGCTAACGAGCTGATCCGGTGCGGCTGATTGGAGCCTCTGACAAACAGTTCAACAGAGGCAAAATGTCCAGCTCTCAGCTCCATGTTCTAGTTCAATGCCAAGATTCTACCTGCAATGAGAGAATCCGGTTCACGGTGACGATAAAACCAAAACAGACCAATGTCACAAGTTCAGCGCTTTGAGCAGAGGATCAATATGCTTCTCTGATCAAGAATGAACAAAGGGGCTATTGATTTCCACGGGAATGACGCTGTTTTTACTGTTGTTTCTGTGATTTCAGTTGGTTTCATACAAACACATACAGACAGACCACTTAGGGTTATAGGGTTAGGGATAGGGCGGTCGCTAACGCTAGCTGTTAAGATTAGCATTAGCTTCAGGTGGGTCCAGACAAGTGAAATGTCAACATGATTATTTATGCAAAGATATAAGTGGTGTTTATAAGTGTGTACCTACAATTAAAGCTGCACTAACTGACTTTGGGATTTTGAAGTCGTGGACTCGCTGGCCTCTCTCTTTCTGCTCCCCTCCCCGCACCCACGCAGCTATGGCCCCCCACACACACCCACTGTTGGGACGGAGCTACTGTCTCCCAATATGGATAATACATGGATATGGATTTTCACGTGGATGGCGTGACCATAGAATGATAGAACCGGGAAGCGCGGAGGAACGGGACTTTCTTTTGGATGGCTGTCTTGCTGTGTGAGCAGTAACGAAGACACACGAAGTTTCAGGTTAGCTCCGCCACTTGTTGTGCTAACTCAGCCGTCTATGCTAACGGACCTGTAGATTTCTCACGAGAGTGGGGGCCAGTGGTCCGCTGTGATTGGTCACAATCCGCGACCCGAAACACATTCTCTTCCTTGTTTCATCAAAACTCGATCTAAAATATAATGTCACGCCAGCACAAATCTGCACTACTTTTTCTTCAAAAGGACGTATATCCCAATGCCCTATACGGACATGGACAGCATTTTTGTAATGAATACAAAAATAAAGTCAGTTAGTGCAGCTTTAAGTACCATTAACTACACGCATGTACCATAGAAGTACACATATTTATTGTTGAACCACTGATATCTATCATAGACCTCCACATATGTATTATAATGAGTCAAAACTCTCCAAACAGCACTATGACTAGACCTCGTGACGTCACTCCACTTAATCTAGTGCTGTTATCATTCAGCCAACTTCAGTTCTCAGTCAGTCACAGCAGTATGGAGATGTGGATACAGAAGTTGGGGGCTATTTCAGTCCATGGTTTGGATCAATATGAGATTGATGTGGCGCTGCAGACGAGGCGTGACGCAGCGGCGGAGCTCGCAGCAGGTCGAGAACATGAGATAAAGTCCTGACGCTGGAGAAACATGAGGAGACACTTCCTGCGACTCTGTGTGGAGCAATCGATGGGAGAGAGGGAGGAGGAGAGAGGGAGGAGAGAGAAGGGGAGAGGAGACGAGGAGAGGAAAGAATGGAGAGAGAGAATAAGAGGAGAGGAGGGAAGAGAGAGATGAGGGAGGGGAGAAAAGAGGATAGGAAGAAGGTATGGGGTGATGAGATAGGAGAGGAAAGAGACCAGAGAAAGAGTCTCTCTCTCGCTCTCTCTCTCTCTCTGGTCTGTCTCTTCAGTTTCTCTCTGGTGTCTCTCTCTCCGGTCTCTCTCTGATCTTTCTGCGGTGTTTCTCTCCAGTCTCTCTTTCTTAGGTTTCTTTTTAGTCTTTCTCTTCAATCTCTCTCTCGTGTCTCCCTTGTCTCTCTCTCTGGTTTCTCTCTGGCCTCTCTCCCTGGTATCTCTCTCTCTCTCTCTCTGGCCTCTCTCCCTGGTATCTCTCTCTCTCTCTGGTCTCTCTCTCTGGTCTCTCTCTCTGGTCTCTCTCTGGTCTCTCTCTCTGGTATCTCTCTCTCTCTCTCTCTCTCTCCGGTCTTTCTCTCTGATCTCTCGTGGGTGTTTCTCTCTCTGGTCTTTCTCTCTGGTCTCTCTCTCTGGTCTCTCTCTCTGGTCTCTCTCTGGTCTCTCTCTGGTCTCTCTCTCTGGTCTCTCTCTGGTCTCTCTCTCTGGTCTCTCTCTGGTCTCTCTCTGGTCTCTCTCTGGTCTCTCTCTGGTCTCTCTCTGGTCTCGTCTTTCTCCCTGGCCTCTCTCCCTGGTATCTCTCTCTCTCTCTCTGGTCTTTCTCTCTGATCGCTCTTGGGTGTCTCTCTCTCTCTGGTCTCTCTCTGGTCTCTCTCTCTGGTTCTCCTGGCCTCTCTCTCTGGTCTCTCTCTCTGGTCTCTCTCTCTGGTCTCTCTGTCTCTGGTCTCTTCTCTCTCTGGTCTCTCTCTGGTCTCTCTCTGGTCTCTCTCTGGTCTCTCTCTGGTCTCTCTCTGGTCTCTCTCTGGTCTCTCTCTGGTCTCTCTCTGGTCTCTCTCTGGTCTCTCTCTGGTCTCTCTCTCTGGTCTCTCTCTCTGGTCTCTCTCTCTGGTCTCTCTCTGGTCCTCTCTCTCTGGTCTCTCTCTGGTCTCTCTCTGGTCTCTCTCTGGTCTCTCTCTGGTCTCGTCTTTCTCCCTGGCCTCTCTCCCTGGTATCTCTCTCTCTCTCTCTGGTCTTTCTCTCTGATCGCTCTTGGGTGTCTCTCTCTCTCTGGTCTCTCTCTGGTCTCTCTCTCTGGTCTCTCTCTCTGGTCTCTCTCTATCTCTCTCTCTCTCTCCGGTCTTTCTCTCTGATCTCTCGTGGGTGTTTCTCTCTGGTCTCTCTCTCTGGTCTTTCTCCCTGGCCTCTCTCTCTGGTCTCTCTCTCTGGTCTCTCTCTCTGGTCTCTCTCTCTGGTCTCTCTCTGGTCTCTCTCTGGTCTCTCTCTGGTCTCTCTCTGGTCTCTTTCTGGTCTCTCTCTGGTCTCTCTCTGGTCTCTCTCTGGTCTCTCTCTGGTCTCTCTCTCTGGTCTCTCTCTCTGGTCTCTCTCTGGTCTCTCTCTGGTCTCTCTCTGGTCTCTCTCTGGTCTCTCTCTGGTCTCTCTCTGGTCTCTCTCTGGTCTCTCTCTGGTCTCTCTCTGGTCTCGTCTTTCTCCCTGGCCTCTCTCCCTGGTATCTCTCTCTCTCTCTCTGGTCTTTCTCTCTGATCGCTCTTGGGTGTCTCTCTCTCTCTGGTCTCTCTCTGGTCTCTCTCTCTGGTCTCTCTCTCTGGTCTCTCTCTGGTCTCTCTCTGGTCTCTCTCTGGTCTCTCTCTCTGGTCTCTCTCTGGTCTCTCTCTGGTCTCTCTCTGGTCTCTCTCTGGTCTCTCTCTGGTCTCTCTCTGGTCTCGTCTTTCTCCCTGGCCTCTCTCCCTGGTATCTCTCTGGTCTCTCTCTGGTCTCTCTCTGGTCTTTCTCTCTGGCCTCTCTCTCTGGTCTCTCTCTTCCCAGTCCTATATGTGTAGTTTTTAAAGCTAATGTCTCTGATTGTTCTTGTGTGTCAGATCGGTTCCTGGAACAGCCCTCATGTTTTTCTCTGCTCCCACTCGCTCCTCAGTTCTTTAAATATTAATCCTCTGTAATAAAACATAATTGGTCGTCGCTGCGTGAGGCGCTGCCCGGGAATCCACCGCATCAATGTTTAACGGCACAGATGGACTAGAGACGCCATCATCCTGGAGCACTGAGCCGAGCCGGGACGCGCCGGGTCGAGCTGAGCCGGGCCTAAAGATGGCGCCGTGGCAAGAGCTCTGGTGTGTGTCGTCTGGTGCACACTGGGGTAGTCTTGCACAGTTTTTCCTATGTGGTTTTACTGCAAATGGCAAATAAATGAATCTGAATCTGAATCTATGGCCAAATGGACAAATGTTATAGATACACAGTGTGGTTTGTTTTAAGTCATGTGGCCATTCCTGTAGGTGAAAGCCAGATCCCTTCAGACCTCTGTGATGGGAGACCTCTGGGACCACAATGGGGCGGCTGCAGCATTAAAAAGCCAAACTGTGGTTGTGTCCTTAGGCAAGACACTGCACCCACATCAGAATGAGTCTGGTGTGTGTATGATTGATTGATTGAGGCTTGTTTCTGTT